GCTTGGGATGGGAGCTACGCTGCTAGGGCGCAGGATGGAGGGGGTGCGGTGGGGTGGGTAGGAGGGGTAGTGGTTGAGGACAGTGTTTCGGCAACGGAACCTCTTTCGGGGGAGGTGGGCTAGGGGGTGCGGTGCCAGTGTGGGCAAGGGCACAGGGGCGAGGCACGGTTCAGCTGCTTCTGTCTGCATTCGTCAGCACCATGGTCATATTCCCAAACTCTCCAACATACTATCTCCTCTCCCCTCCTCCCCCCTTCCCCACATCCCCACACCTCTCCCTTCCTCCCCCTCTCCACCCCCCACGCTTCCCCCCACTGTATGCCGCCCACCTGGGAATCACCAGGGCACAGACTGGGGCCACCAGTGCACGTTCATAGGGCACCAGCAGAGCGGCATGATGGGGCATGATAAGCCCCAAAGTCTACACTCGTCAGCATCATCGTCACATCTCCCCTCTCCCTTCCCTCTCTCCCTCTTTCCCCCCTTTTTTCCGCTTCCCTACCTCTGCATAACCAGGGCACGGACTGGGGCCATCAGTGCACGTTTATAGGGCACCAGCAGAGCGGCATGATGGGGCTGCTCGCCTCCCTGGAACGCCCCAGAGTGTTCAAGCGCATTATCATCATGGGCTCCTCGCCCAGGTATGCATGTCACCATGCATGAGTCACCTCGCCCAGACATTTATGTCCCCTTCCCTGAGAGTGTTCAACCGCATCATCATCATGGGCTCCTCGCCCAGGTATTTTCCAATTTGTACGTCTCCTCAAGAGCGCATATAATTCTCTTCCTGCTGGTCTTGTTGCAGTTTGTGTTGTTTCTCTAGCTTGAGGAATTGTTTCTCTTCGTCTCAGTGACTCAATTCCCTGATTCACGTGTGTACTGAAACTGCAATGGCAGGTTGCTGGATGCTCCAGGCTACGAGGGGGGCTTTGCTCTGAACGACCTGGACCAGGTGTTCGGCATCATGCAAGGCAACTTCAAGGTCAGTGCCTTGCTGCTGTTGTTGCTGCTGCTGCTGCTGGCATATGTATGACACGCCTCAAAGGGGCTTTTCACTGAACGACCTGGACCAAGTGTTAGGCATCATGCGAGGCAACTTCAAGGTCAGTGGGTTTGCCCCTGCTTCCTTCATTCACTTCTGTTCCTGTTCCCGTTTCCACTGATGTGATGCTGAGGCAAGACTCAGAGATGACTCATGCAGAGATGACACACGTAGAAAATCTCTTGCATTTTCGCTGTATCTTTCATCTGTTTCCCATTACCCATGTCTACCGTGAGCAGATGTGGAGCAGAGGGTGTGCGCCCGTGCTGACAGCGGACGATGTGAAGGCGCCTCTCGTGCGCGACTTCACCCGCCCGCTCTTCCTGCTGCGCCCTGACATCGGCTTCAGCAACCTCAAAACCGCCTTCGCATGCGACGTGCGAGATATCCTGCCACGGGTGAGTGCAAGATGTCCTCCCATGCTGCACGGGAGGAAGAAGCATGGATGGTACAGACAGCAGCCCCCTCTGCTTCGCTCTTCCTGCTGCGCCCCAACATTGGCTTCAGCAATCTCAAGACCGCCTTTGCATGCGAGGTGCGAGACATCCTACCACGGGTGAGTGCTGATGCTGCATGTGAGGACGAGGGGTGGATGGAGAGGGAGGGAGAGGGACGGATGGTACAGCAACCCTCTCTGCTTCGTTCCTCCTGCTGCGGCCTGATATTGGCTTCAGCTTCAGCAACCTCAAGACTGCTTTGACATCCTCCCATGGATCAAAGCTGCGCCTGCGTTGGGTCCTTGTACTCATTTCGTTCTCCACCTCCCATCCCCTTTGCCGTGCCTCTAACAGGTGTCAGTGCAAATTCACCTTCTCTTTTTCGACCAGGACTCAACTGTGCCGCAGTCAGTAATACAGTACATGCTCACCACCATCCCAACGCCTCCCATTCCCTTTGTCGAGTCCCTAACAGGTGTCAGTGCAAATCCACCTTCTCTTTTTCGACCAAGACTCTACCGTGCCCCAGTCAGTAATACAGTACATGCTCACCACCATTCCCAACGCCTTTGCCGAAATCCTCGCTACAACCGGCTTCGCTGACTCGCCTACAACGGTTGCCGCCGGCATTCAACGGCATCTCAGCATGCCGATCCGAGAAACGTTTGGGCTGTCTAGCCGGAGGATCTTCAATGCCCGGTATCTACCCCCGCCTATGCCTGAGATGGAGGAGGATGCGCAGGAGATGGAGGTGGAAATTATATAGAATAATAATGGCGAAAGCAGGTGTACGGTACGACGAATGAAGGAGCGTAGGTACATCGGGCCAGGGAGGTTGTGGATTGGCTGGAGTGGATTCCACCCATTTTGTCTGCTCTAGGCTAGGACACCGCAGGACACTGCTTACTAAGCTAGGCATTTGTGTCCTTACTCGTTGTACCAAACTAGCTGTTTAGTGGAAATCCATGTGCTCACTTTGGTGAGCGCTGGTGTGGCTATTCTATTATGGTCACATCAATAAGATATCTCTGGTAGTGTATCATTTTATAAGCTACACTGCCCAGCAATTTCTGTTTCTCTCCTGGGTCTTCGCGACAGGAGAATTCAGTTACTTGTCGCCACCACCGCTTCGTCAACGATCGCCCACCCACACACAACAAACTCGAGGGCCTCCAACTTCCAAGCATCAATCCATCAAATCTCTCATCTCCGCTTCACCATTTCGCCCGCATTTCTCGAGATTTCTTCTCTCACCCAGAACCAAGTTCCACGTCTGTCGTCCTCGCTTGTCGAACGGTTGTATCTGTGATTCTCTCTCCTCGCTACGATCGCCCGTGCATCATTCATTCAACTTTGTTTCAATTTCCAGTGTTGCTTTCACGAGTAGGACTTACCATTTGGGGTGATGGCGACGGCCGCGTCGAAGGAGCAGCAGCAGAAGACCATCAATGTCCTCACTGCCGCAGCTCCGCTACAGGCAAGCTCGCTACCGAACTAAAAGCGGTACTTTGGAATATTCGAACGGCATGAAATTGCACAATCATGCATTTCGTATCAGGGTGGATAGCGCTGCGATACAATGGGGATTCCTGGCATTGCGCTAATGTCAAGCGGACGGACGTCGAGCCGACTTTGAGCCGACGTTGATCCGCGACATTGATCTGACTCCCTGTGCGTTGCTCTCCGTGCGTGATGGATGGGTGCGGTGACTGGCAGAACTATGAGTTCGACTTCGGAATCGGAGGAGCGCCGGGCAAGGCCGCGGGGGCCAGCCTCAAGGACCAACGCAGCGGCTTCTCCCTTGCATCCGTGAGTCGCGTGCATCCATTAGTTTAAGGCCTACTTTAGTTTAAGGCTTACCTCCACCTCTCACCTATGCGCTGTCAGACCCCACTCCTTTCCTCGCCTTTCCACCCCACACCTATGCGCTCGCTTGCTACTGCAAAATTCCTTCCCCGCTTTAGCCTCCCCTTCCGCCCTTCCTTTTCCCCCGCCACGGGCCTCTCTGCTGCAGGTATCCAAGGGCGGGGACTTAGCCTCCATGCTCCTCGGTTCCTCCTCTTCCCCCTCCCCCGCCACCGCCGCCGCCAAAGCCCCCGCCTACTCCGGCCCGCCCACTGTCGCGCTCTCCCCCACCTTCACCCCCGCGCCTCCCCCCTGGCTGCTCACCCCTTCCGCCCCCGCGCCCACGCCATCCGTCTCTGGCGTCTACTCCGTCACCATCCCTCCTCCCGTCTCCATCCAAGCCTCTTTCAAAGAAGCCCCTCCCACCGGCGTTCCTGCCGCCGCCGCCGCCGCTGCTGGTGCCGCAGGGGGAGTTGCTACGGGACCAGGGGCGCTGGGGCTGGCAGGAGTGGGGGCAGCAGGGGCGGGGGGAAAGGGGCCGGCAGGGGGAGGTGGGATTGGCGGGCTGGCTGCCACGTGGACAGCATCTCACTTGGGATCCACGAGCAGCAAGAAGCCAGACGCCCTCTCTGACCTCTGGAGCACCGTAGCATCCGGCGCTGCTGCTTCCGGCGGCGCTGGCACTACTTCTGGCAGTGGTGTTGGCGGTAGTGGCACTGGTGGTGCAGGCTCAGGAGTATCATTGGGTAACGGGGTAGCAGACATAACCTCATCGTCATCATGGGCAGCAGCAGCAGCAGCAGCAACAACAGCTGCAGCTCCAGCAGCAGCAGCAACAACAGCTGCAGCTCCAGCAGCAGCAGCAACAACAGCTGCAGCTCCAGCAGCAGCAGCCCCAGCAGCAGTACCGATAGTAGACCCATTCGGAGATGTGTTTGCGTCGGTTCCCATGGCCCCTGCTCCCTCTGCCGCACCAGCAGCAGCACCAGCAGCAGCACCAGCCGGGGGGGACCTGTTGGGGGGAGACCTGCTTTCTGACTTGGGTTCAGCTGTGCCTGATGCAGGTTCAGCCTCTGCTGCTGCGGCTGCTAGTCCAATGGATCCTGTGGGGGGGCTGCTGTAATACAAAGCTTGCTGGTCATGACCTGCTGGGGGGAGATCTTCTTTTTGACTTGAATTCAGCTGTGCCTGATGCGGGTTGAGCCTCTGCTGTTCCTCCTGCTGCTAGTCCAATGGATCCTGTGGGGGGCCTGCTGTGATACAGAGCTTGCTGAGTGCTGTGCTGTAACTGTTTCTGGCTGAAAGTGGGCATTGATTGGTGTCAGCTTTGGGCTGGCAACGTGACCAAGTTATCATTTCATCTGTCGATTACATGGCACTCATTCTGGGCTGGACCTGGGCTGGTACGGTGGGAGCTGTAGTAGCTTTATCAAGGTGTTGTTATTCATATATAATATTAGCTTACAAGGAAGATGGTCTAGGAACCAAAACACATTTGAGCACCCTTTTCTAACTACACAGGATTGCTACCACAATCCTGACATTTCAAAGAAATAGGAGTATAGAAGACAGCTCTGCTATACCAGCCGCAGCTTTGGCAGTGAATGCTGCTTTCGATTTGGGAATGGTTTCAGAGCTAATTTCACTGGAGTCATGGGTTGGAGACTCCTAGCAGCCTCGAGGTGAGCTCCCAGGCAACAACAGCCGCAGCATTGGCAGGGAAGGCTCGAGTGAGTGTGGGCAGGAGACCAGCATAGAAGCCCCTGATGCCACTCTCCCTTAAAATCTGCAACAGCAGGGATGGTACCATGTCCACGGGGGGAAGTGTGGGAATGGATGTGAGGCAGGGTACAAGAATGACAGCAAGAGATGCATCGACCCAAGGCAGTGCAGGGAGAGAGCAGCGCAGGAAGAGAGGCAGCATACCAGGGCAGCACGGATACCATGCAAAATAGTGTAGGCTGACCAGAGGAGCACTCACAGCTTTGCACTGGCTGAGCATGCGCAGCGACTCCGGCGATGCCGAAGCATCTGCCGTCTGAATTCGCGTCTTGATGACATCAAATGGGAGCACTGCGGACCAGAACTGGTGTGTGGGGTGGTAGGTGGGGAGGAGGGGAGGGGAGGGGCGGGGAGGTGAGGGAGGGTCATCTTCAATGCGGGTCGTGATTGGGACAAATAGAGCAACATAGCCATCCACAGCTTACGCAGCACTAGTGAGACGGAGCCCAAGAGAGGATCTGAGGAATGACACCGACAACCATGTCAGGCCAGTACGAGCAAAAGCAGTGAACTGAGAGCTGACTAACCACAATGCCAGCTATCCCCCCACTGGCAATGGCAGTAGCAGCCTCAGCTGCCACTCTCCTCCACTCACTCGCCCCACCCGCTCCCATTGCCTCCCCCCCCCCTGACACCCCTTCCCCTTCGCCCCCTCTCCCTTCAGCCACATCTCTTCTCCTCGAGGCCTCCCTGTCTTGACTTGACCCTTCATACACATTGTCAACTGAGAGGTCTGAGGAGGAGGAGGAAGAGGGAGAGGAGTGCGTGGGGGAGTGCGAGGGGGAGGAGGGGGCGAGGGCGGGGAGAAGGCGGTGCTTAATGGCTTCGTATGTGAGGAAGAAGCTGATGTTGCCTAGCGACTCCCTCAGTGCTGTCGCTGTTAGGCCTCTGAATAACCCTTGTGGCTGCAGCACAAGAGGGGGAGTGGGGTAGACAGGAGCAAGAGAGACAAGGAAAGGGGAGACAAGGAAGGGGGGAGTAAGAGGCGGGGTTTGATGGCTTCGTATGTGAGGAAGAAGCCAATGTTGCCGAACAACTCTTTCAGTGCTGTCGCTGTCAGGCCTCTGAACAGGCCCTGGGGCTGCAACACGAGAAGGAGGGGAGTGGGGGAGAAGTGAGAGAGAGATGAGATGAAGAGCGGACGAAAAACGGTGGAGGGAGGTATTCCAGAAGCAGTTGAACGAATAGCTACATCCACTCGGTCACGTCACATTCACACACTCGCTCCCTCACTCACTCACTCACTCACTCACTCACTCACTCCCTTGATCAGAAACGATCCAGCACGCTTACCCCATCGGTCTTGACAGTCTGAACCACGCAATCCCAAGGGCCCTTGTAGTGACCTGTTCCCCCCACCACCCGTTGACTCTGCTGCTGCAAGTGCTGCTGCTGCAGCAAAACTTGTTGCTGCAGTGGCGGTTGTGAATGGATTTGCTGGCGTTGGGTTGCGGCAGCAGCTGCTGCTGCTGTTGCTACTGATGTTGCGGGGTTCCGTGCTAGGGAGGGGAAGGCAGCGTTTGTACTGAAGGGGGCGGGATGAGCAGCAGCGGCAGCAAATGAAGGGGTTACGCCAGTCATGACAGGGACCCGCTTAGAGGCACCCGCTGCCGCTGCCGCTGCCGCTGCCGCTGCTGCTGCTGGTGCTGCTGTTGCTGTTGCCGCTGCTGCTGCTGCAGTATACACGGAGGCGGCGGGTGCAAGAGCTGGGGACTTGGCTTGCACTTGCAGGCGACACTGCAAGAGAGAGACGAGCAGCAGACACAACAAGAGGAACAAGATGCTTTTTTAGAATGAGACGAGCACGGAGCACTTGAGGAAGTGGGTGAGAGACAGCAGGTCACGCAGGACAGTCATACACATGCCACGCACTGGCCCGCCAACCACTGAACCGCTTGTAACCGCTTGTAACCGCAACTCACCTTGACGAGCTCTGTAGGGCAGATCACGAAGCTGATGAGCCCGCCTGCCAACCCCGCTGGTGACTCACTTTGAGTCGCCTCTGTCTAGGCATTGTGTGCTGCACTGACTACCGCTCAGCGCTCACCCACAGCGCACTCCACCGCTTTGCAACACACCTTGACAAGTTCTGTGGGGCAGAGCACGAAGCTGATGAGCCCTCCCGCCAGCCCTGCTGCTACCGCCACCGTGCCTGCTGTGGGCGCCGATCGCTCTCCGCTCTGAGAGGCCGGAAGGGGGAGGAAAGAGAGGAAGGGGCGGGGGGGAGGTTGGCTATTGGCAAGGGGAAAGGAGGGAAGGGAGGGGACGTGGAGAAGAGGGAAGGGAGGGAGGGGGGAGGAGACATGGGCAACATGGCGCAGCATTGGCACCCAGGCCGCAGCATTGGCACCCAGGCCGCAGCATTGGAACCCGGGCCTCAGCACTGGTAGTCACAGATGTGCTGTCTTATATGGGGGTAGTTACCTGCAAGGCGGTCTTTATTTGGGTGTAGGAGCCGAACAGCAGCGAGCTCTCCACTGCCACACCAATGAACGATGACGTGGCGCCGCGGTATAGGCCGGGGATCTGAGGGACAAAGGCAGGGAACAACGCATGCGCGAATGCACTGAGGGGGACGCGGAGGAGAGCGCGGAGGAGTGCGCGGAGGAGTGCGCGGAGGGGCACGCTGGGGGTTGAGGTAAGGGGGTGCGCCTATTCAGACCAATTCTGAGCTCATAAACGAACTGAAGAGCTTATAACCAAGGGTCGTGCGCCTCACCCCTTCGGTGCGGAGAATGTGCGACGTGCACTGCCATGCCGAGCGATACCGCGGAGCCCCTAGCGACGCCTGCGACGCTGGCGACGTGCCATTGGCGACGTTGCTGGCTTGCAGCTTGACCTGCGGAGATGGGTGAATGGGGAGAGACGGGGTGAACGGGTAAGAATGAGGCAGGAAGGGACGAATGGAGGGGAAATGCGGGGCTGGCCCTGTTATGCGAAGGTCACATCGACACCGTCAGTTGCACGCCGCCGTTCAATCACGAGCGTCCGATCCCGTCTACCCTTCGCACTTGCGCCTCACGGCAATCCAAGGCCTGAAACTCCCACAGCCGTTCGATCCTGACCTTAACGGTATCGAACGGATGTCCCGTGACGACGAGAGCCACCCCTGCGGCGACGCCTGCCGTGAAATCCTTCACTGCGGCGAAATCGTTTGGCGAAGGTGGCTTTGCGAACTGGTTACTCGGTGGCGATCCGAAATCGTTCGCGCGCGGAGCGGTCACGTCCTTCATGCTCTCGCCGACTCGCGAACTCCCGGCGACGCCTGCTTCCGGCCGCATTGTCCTGTGCGATCTCAGCCGTTGATACCCGAGATCACAGCTGGATGTTACTAGCCGCGAATGCACGCTTGACCGATTTGCGAGCCGCACCGACTTTGCCGAAACGAGGATGAAAAATGGCGGACCGCCGAGAGACAAACTCAACGAGGCTCAGCGAGTGCGCAGAGAAGAGGAGCTGTTACGGCAGACGAAACGGACAGGAACGCACGCACGCTCAAAGACTTAGCTCGAGCGCAGTTGCTCCAAAGATTGATACAACCGAATGTATCAACGAGGCCTAGTCGATCGTTCTTAGCTAACCAAGACGGCTTTGAGCACCAAATCTGCGGCTTCATGTATACTCGCTGCGAGCTGTGCTATACGGTGTTTTCTTCGGATCAGCAATGCGCGGAGCGGGAGGCTTTGAGCTGCGCGCTGTCGCGGAACGCGGAAGCGAGGCGAGGCGATTCCGCGCCTAGTCAAGGCTGCCCAGCCGTGATGTGCTGCTGCTCCCCGTAAATTTGGGCGTGGTGCATGCACTCGCGCGCTTGGGGTTCATCGAAAAGTGAACCGCTTTGTGACGCAGAAAAGCGTTTTGGATCTCGCGAAGACAAAGCAAAACGTACCCAACCTTTTTAAAATACCGAACTTCGGGCCTCCTTCACGAGTACGGTGTTGCGCTCCCGCACCATATCGTCGCGCACGGGTCCCCCGAGTCGAACGAACGCCCTCGGCTCGGACACCCCGAACTCCGCTACAGAGAAAGCCACCCACGCAAGCGACACCGCCGTAACGGGTCAGTTGCAAAGTTCTGTGTATGGATAGAATACACCATGAAATTTCTGACCGCTCAAACTTATCTCCTGACATCCCTTTTTATCGCGGATGCTCAAGAAATATCGGTGAAATATTGCGTTGCGACGGAGGTTTCACTTGGCGGTCAAGCCATTTCAGCTAGGAGGTTTACAGAACACATCAGCCCTGGCTAGTAGGACTTTCCCCGGACTGTGCGATACTGTACTCTAGACCCAATCCTAAGGCCAAGACTACTTGGTGGTGAATCGTGATCCTTGTTCGCAATGCCTTCCAGTCGTTAGGTCTGTTCGCCGTTTAATTAACAGATCCGCGGTTTAAGGTCGTTGCGTTGTACGCTAACCCGAATGCCCTGCTGTCTCCCAAGTCGTTGCGCCGTCGCGTCGTCCACGTCAGCTCCAATATCCACGATAGCTGTAGCCTTGAACACTCGCTGCGTTTTCATTTAAAGCCCGCAGCACCCACTACGATCGAAAATAAGCTCAGCGGTCACTCGAAAAGACTTACATTGGAGAACTGCTGATTTTCAACGCAATTCGCGATTGCATTAGAATCTCTGCAGCCACTGCTACCATCGCATCGCAGCCATCGCGTAGCCGTCGCATAGCCTTCGCATAGCCGTCGCAGCCATCGCATTGCAGGCATGAAGGCAGGCTCCGCCAGCAGTCGCGGAGCGGGGCGGCTGTGGACGGCAGCAGGGTCGTCGCCGCAGGGGTCCATGCGAGGGATCGGCGACTCGTCGCTGTCGTCGCGTTCGCGAAAGAGCAAGAAGAGTCGCTCGCTCGTGAGGCGGCTGCTGAAATGCCGCTTCCAGACCTTCATCCTCTGCGTCGTTCTGGTCCGTCTAATCGCTGGCTTTCAATTGTCGCCGTCAAATCTCTCGCTTGTTCCCAGCCCTTTTCCACTCATTGTCGCTTCCCCCTACCCCTTCCAAATTCTCTTGGCTTTCTATACCGGTCCACCCGCTCCCCCATACACACTCCCCCTCCTCCCCGTCTCCCCCTTCCACCCTTCCCCATCTATGCTTCCATCCCTCCCTCAATCCATGCGTCCCCATCCTTCCCCTCCTCCCTACCTTTCATACGACTCCCCCCTCATTCTTCGCTCTAACCCTCCCTCCCTTCCGCCCTCCCCTTTCTCCCCCTCCATTCGTCCGTGCGGCCCCATCCCTCCCTCTCTCCCTCCTTCCGTCCCGCCGTCCCGCCTCCCTCCCTCCCTCCCTCCCTCCCTCCCTCCCTCCCTCCCTCCCTCCCGCCCGCCCGCCCTCCCTCTGGTGCAGGTGTTGCTGTGCAGTGCGCTCGTCTTTCTCTTCGTGGTGGACAAGTTCCCCTTCTCCATGGGTGCCAAAGAGGCCGCTGCTGCTGCTGCAGACGACCTTGTAAGTCGCTCGGCTCTGCTCTTCGCTGTTCCGATCTGGCCTTCTCTGCTCTGCTCTCTCTTTTATAGTGCTTCTCGTTGCCATGGTCAGCCAGTTCCCCTTCCCCATGGGAGCAAAATACGCCGCCGCCACTTGACTCCATTCGCATGTAAACATGCATTCTCGACCCCCCTGTTTCCTCCTCCTACCCACGTTTCCCGTGCCAGTCCACGTCAGCAGCGGAGACGAAACCATCCCACGTGGCAATGGATCTGAGCGCGCATGGCAAGCAGCAAGAGACGGTCAGGATGATCACTGGGGAGGGGGACGGCATGGCGGCGGACGGCAAAGGCTCTAAGGGCGGCAAGGGAGGCGGCAAAGGTGGTGGGAAGGGCGGTGGGAAGGAGAGTAAGGATAGTAAAGGCGGCAAGGGGAAGGCAGATCCCAAACAGGCAGCACAGGGGAAAGATGCCAAAGATGGAAAAGATGCTAAAGGGGGCAAGGGTGGGAAAAGGGCGAAGGAGACAGGGAAACCTGGTGCTGGTGCTGGCGGTGGTAAGACAAGTCACCCTACCACCGGTGCTAAGCAGGCGAGTCCCAAGCAGCAGCAGAAGGCCAGTGATGCTGGTAAGGGAAAGGGGGGGCATCCTGCAGGGAAGGCACCTCATGGGAAATCGCCCGGAGGGAAGGCGCCAGGAGGAAAGGGCGCAGGTGCGAAAGCTGGGGGGGTGGTACCTGGTTCTGGGAAGCAAGCAGGGGAGGTGCAAGCAGGTGCGGGGAAGAATGTTGCAGCACATGCAGGGGGGAAGGGAGCAGCAGTGGTGGCGAAGGGAAAGGTGCACCCAGCTCCTAGGCAAGACAAGGCGGGAGGAGCAAAGGGTAAAGGCGGGGTTGCTGCAGGGAAGCAGGGTGGGAAGGGGAAAGGAGCAGTGCCGGCTGCTGGGAAGTTAAGAGGGGTTGCTGCTGACTCTAAGAAGGGAGGGAAAGTTCAGAAGAGTTAGGATGGGAAGCTAGCCATGTCCATAGCGCATGGGCAGGTTTTGTTGTTTTCTTAAAAGTGTTGCTGCTGCCATAAGATTCGTGTGTGTTTGATTAAGGTTGTACCCTCTATGAATTTGGTCACGTTATGGTAAAATGTGTTGACGCGAATCTACACCCCCTAGTTTACCTGTAAAATACGCGTTAGTGCATCAGGGCGGCTGCTCCGCTTCCCCCTCTCACCAGCAGTTCGTTCCGCCGAGTTTCTAGCCTCATTCGCAAGTCGGAATCTCCTGCATTTCGAGACCTCGTCGCCATGGCGAAGGGCAAGGGCGGGGCGATCCTCGTGAAGCTGCTGTCGGCGGCGGGGACGGGCTTTTTCTATGTCACCAAGAAGAATCCGCGCAATCTGCCGCACAAGCTCGAGTTTAGGAAGTATGACCCGCGCGTTCAGAAGCACGTGCTCTTTACCGAGACTAAGCTCCGTTAGTAGATTGATCGCCGCGTCGCGGTCTGTGACTTGTGGCTGGGAACGGGGTTCTGTTTGTGCCGTGCGGAGTTGTCTAGAATGGTTCGATACTGACACTATGCAAATTAGCGGGTTTGCTGTGTAATGAAGCATTATTAATCCATCTATCTTTTGTGAATTTGATTGCTGTCCCTAGGCTTGTAGCAGCGTGAATTGGTTCGTTCGGGACTGAATCGTTAGTAGGCCCACTAATCCACCTAAGCGCGTACTCACCAGACGTCTCTGTCATCGGCAGTTGTGAAACGCCGTTGAATCGCTGTGAGCCGCCGTGCGTCGCCGCGAGTCGCCGTGATTGCTGGCAATCGCTTTGATTCGCGCCCCGTGAACCGCGCGCTTGAATCGCGCGGCGCGCGATGGATTTCCAGGAGCTGGAGGCGGCGGAGGGGCTGCGCTTCTCGTGGAACGTGTGGCCCTCGTCGCGCCTCGAGGCGGCGCGCTGCGTCGTGCCGTTCGGCGCGGTCTTCACGCCGCTCGCGGAAATCGCGGATCTGCAGGTCGTTCCGCATCCGCCGCTGCTCTGCAAGGCGTGCGGCGCCGCGCTTAACCCGTACTGCGCGCTGCACTGCGGCACGCGCTCGTGGGCGTGCGCGCTGTGTCAGCAGGTACCGTGGGGGTTGTGTGGGGGGGAGGAAATGGGGGGTGGGCGGAGGCATGGCGCATGCGCGCTCCAGCAGGGGGGGCAAAGGGGCGCCGCGCCCAACCCGTACTGCGCGCTGCACTGCGGCACGCGCTCGTGGGCGTGCACGCTGTGCCAGCAGGTATGGGAGGGGGGAGAAAGGAGAGACGGGCGGAAGGACAGTGCGTGCGCACTGCTCAGCAAATGCGTCGGAATGGGGGGGAGGGGTGGGGAATGAAATGGGTGGAAGGAGAGGGGAGAATGAGGGAGGAATCGGTGGGGTTGGGTTGGGCTGGGTGGGTGATCTTAGAACAAGAGATTCAAAGGACTGCTGCGGCGCACCTCTCTGCTTCTTCCGGCTTCGTTCTCCCCTCCCACCCCTCCCACCCCTCCCGCCCCTCCTCATACCCCACTCAACTCCTTCCTCTCATTCTTCTGTTCCCACGCTCTCTCCCCTTGACAACTTACTCCCCTCTCCTTTCCTCCGCTCCCTTCCCCTCCCCTCCCCTGCCCTCACCTGCCCTCCCCTGCCCTCCCCTCCCGTCCCGGTCCACAGAGGAACCTCTTCCCGCCCAACTACAGGGACGTGAGTGAGACCAATCTACCCATGGAGCTGTCGCCCAGCCTCAGCACCATCGAGTTTCTCCTGCCGCACGCCGCACAAACCGTGCGTACTCCCTCCCTTCTCCACTCTCCTCTCCTCTCCTCTCCTCTCCTCTCCTCTCCTCTCCTCTCCTCTCCTCTCCTCTCCTCCCCTCTCCTCTCCTCTCCCCTCCCCTCCTCCCTCGCCTCCCCTCTCCTCATCTCCTCTCTCCTCTTGTCTTTTTATCTCCTCTTCTCTTCTCTTTCCTCGCCAATACGACCTCATTTCACCTGCTGTTGAGTTCGAGCCATGTTGCGCCTATGTGTCATCCCGTAACCCCCCTCCCCTTCCCAACAGGCAGCCCGCGTTCCTCTTTGTGTTGGACACGTGTGTACCCCCTGACGAGCTACACCACGCCAAAGCCGCACTTCTACAGCTGCTGCCGCTGCTACCAGTCACCTGCAGACTCACATCTGCCCCCTCCCCCCAAATTCCCAACAGGCAGCCCGCGTTCCTCTTTGTGTTGGACACGTGTGTACCCCCTGACGAGCTACACCACGCCAAGGCGGCCCTTCTACAGCTGCTGCCGCTGCTACCAGTCACCTGCCCCGTGGGGCTCATCACAGTGGGCGCTCAGGTGGCCGTGCACGAACTCTCCCACTCCCTCCCTCACTCACTCCCTCACTCACTCCCTCACTCGCGCCCTCACTCTCAAGCTGGCCCGCTGTCGTCGCGTGTGGTGCTGCTGCCAGGGGACAAGGACCTACCTCCCAGCAAGATAAAGCACCTCCTGGGTTTAGGGCTGGGCTTGCCTCATCCTCACCCTCCCTCTGCACCATCCACCACCGCACCCAGCAGCAGCAGCGGCCACTCCAAAGGGCCGTTTACTGGCAAGCCGTCCTCTCCCAAGGCCCCCCTCTCGCCTAGACCCTCCTCCTCCTCCCATTCCTCGTCTGCCCGCGTGTCAGCATCACCGCCACCGCTGCTAGCACCTCCATCATCATTACTGTCCACGTCAGCAGAGCCAGTGTCATCTTCGCCGCCCCCGCCGTCGCTGGTGCTGGGCGGTAGACGGGCGGCGGATGGCTGGTACCTGGTGCCTCTGGTGGAGGGAGAGGCCGTGCTGAGGGGAGTGATCGCAGCGCTACAGCCGGACTCACAGCCAGTGGTACCGGGAGTCAGGTGAGGTACAGCGGCTTTTTAGTGTGGTTCAGATGGGTCGGATGGCTGGTACCTGGTGCCTCTGGTGGAGGGCGAGGGCGTGATGAGGGGCGTGATAACTGCGCTACAGCCGGACTCACAGCCAGTGGTGCTAGGGGGGTCAGGGCAGCGAGTACAGTGGCTTTCAGGCGGACTTAGTGCAGCATGGCCAGTACAAACGGATTCAGCTGTCGAGGATAAGCTGTGTCTCCCCTCACCCATCTCTCCTGGCGCTCCCCTGTGTCTCCTCGCAGGCCGTGCCGAGCCGTAGGCGCAGCTTTGGCAGCCGCTGTGGCTGTGATGGAGGCTCGGGGCGAGCAGGGGGTAGCAGAAGAGGGAGGCGCGGAGGATGGGGCGGGACGGGCAGCATGGGAGAAGAGAGGAGCAGCGGAGGAGTGGGGAGGAGGGGCAGCAGAGGCAGGCGAGCGGGCGAGGAGGGAAGGCGAGGGGACAGGGAAGACAGGGGAGGGAACGAGAAGGGGAAAGGAGAGGGCAGGAGTGGGAGGGGAGAGAGGAGGGGGAGGGGAGAGGGCGTTGCAGTCAGGAGGGCGAGTGGTGGTGCTGCTGGGAGGGCCGGGAACAGTGGGGCCGGGCATGGTGGTGGGTACGGATATGGCAGACTGCCTCCGCACACACTCGGATATTCTCCTCGACAACACCGCTTTCTACCAGTCAGTACCGCGTTGCCAACCCACTGCTTCGTGCTGGATAAGCAAGCCCTGCCCGGTCCTACTGCGTCTTGTGCTGTTGAGGTGACTTTTGAGTTGACTCAAAAGTCACCTCGATAAGCAAGCTCTGCACGGTCCTGCTGCGTCTTGTGCCGTTCCCGCTCCCTTCCTCCCACCAGCTGTGCCACACGCTTCTATACCATATTTTGATCATTCTAATCGTTGCTGCTGCTCCCCCTCTGACGATTCCTTCCAACAGCCGTGACACTCGCTTCTACACTCAACTCGGCGAGCGAGCAGTGGAGGTATCAGCGGCCATAGACGTGTTTGCATGTGCGGCGGACCAAGTGGGTGTGCATGTGTCTTTCCCTCCCTCCCTCCCTCCTTCCGTCCCTCCCCCCTCCCACCAGCCGTGCCACGCGGTTCTATACTCAACTCGGCGAGCGAGCAGCGGAGGTTTCAGCGACCATAGACGTGTTTGCATGTGCGGCGGACCAAGTGGGAGTGGCTGAGATGAGGGGCGCCATCGAGTCGACAAGTGGCACGCTCGTATTGGCTGACTCGTTTGAGTCTGACATCTTTGCCAAGTCGCTGTGCAAGCTGTTTCAACGGTCCCATGAGGTGAGTCATCGTGAGTCCATGCCATGCCATGCCATGATCCCACGGTATATCATGCCATACCATGCTATGCCCTCTCCATCCCCGTTACAGGGCCCTCTGCTAGCCGCCACAGATGGGGTAGTGGAGGTGAAACTCCTTAAGGAGATAAACGTGATGGGGGCGGTGGGTGCGTGTGATAGTAAGTCAATTTTTCCCCCCTCCCCCCCTTTCCTCCTCCCCCCCCACGTCCTCGTTACAGGGTCCTCTGCTAGCCGCCACAGACGGGGTAGTGGAGGTGAAGCTCCCCAAGGAGATCAAGGTGATGGGGGCGGTGGGGGCGTGTGGCAACCTGTGGCGCAGGGCGGAGAGTGTGAGCGAGCACGAGGTGGGGCAGGGGGGCACGGCGGCCTGGCGCCTCTGCTCCCTCTCCCCCCGCTCCTCCTCCCTCGCGTTCTTCTTTGAAATCGCGCCCCCAAGAGCACACCAGATCCCACCGGGCTCATTTGCACTGTTCCAGGTGTGTTGGCCTGGGAGGGTTGGCATGTCTTTCTTTCCGTCTGCTCCCTCTCCCCCCGCTCATCCTCCCTCGCCCTCTTCTTTAGAATCGCATCACCCAGAGCACCAGAGTCAGCCACGCTCGTGTGCTGTCACGTGTGTGCTGTCACGTGTGTGCTGTCACGTGTGTGCTGTCACGTGTGTGCTGTCACGTGTGTGCTGTCACGTGTGTGCTGTCACGTGTGTGCTGTCACGTGTGTGCTGTCACGTGTGTGCTGTCACGTGTGTGCTGTCACGTGTGTGCTGTCACGTGTGTGCTGTCACGTGTGTGCTGTCACGTGTGTGCTGTCACGTGTGTGCTGTCACGTGTGTGCTGTCACGTGTGTGCTGTCACGTGTGTGCTGTCACGTGTGTGCTGTCACGTGTGTGCTGTCACGTGCGTGCTGTCACGTGTGTGCTGTCACGTGTGTGCTGTCACGTGTGTGCTGTCACGTGTGTGCTGTCACGTGTGTGCTGTCACGTGTGTGCTGTCACGTGTGTGCTGTCACGTGTGTGCTGTCGCGTGTGTGCTGTCGCGTGTGTGCTGTCTCGTGTGTGCTGTCTCGTGTGTGCTGTCTCGTGCGTGTTGTCGCGCACACATGAGAATAGAGCGCACATGAGGTGTTTGGCTGTTTTCCCACCATCCCCCCTCCACTGTCTTACTGCGCTCCCACCAACCCTCTGCCTGCACCCCCCCTCTTCCTCTCAGTTCCTCACCACGTATCGCCATGGGGATGGCAGTAGGAGAGTGCGCGTGGCTACAGCAGCCCGGCGATGGGTGCACATGGGGGGAGAGGGGGGTGGTGGCGCGGATTCGCAGGCTGTTGGGGTGGGGGTGGCGGAAGGGGATGGGGAGCTGGTGGTGGGGGGGGTGCCGGGAGGGAGGGCAGCTGCAGCACTGGCGGAAGTGGTTATGGGGTTCGACCAGGAGGCTGCTGCTGCACTCGTGGCCAAGCTAGCTGCCTTCAAGGTGCGTGTGCCTCTGCATTCGACTGGGCATCGCTCACACCCTGGGACTGTTGGGAAGGGATTGAGGTATTCTGGGACTGTTGTTGACAGCAATCGATGCGCTTCCCTGTGCTTTGTTGCCCTGGCATGATGCATCTCCCCTGCAACCCCCATCTCCTCCTCATCCCCCACCAGGCGGAGTCGGAGGACATGAGTGACGTGCTGCGCTGGTTGGATCGCATGCTCATCCGCTTTGGAGCCAAGTTCGGCCAGTACAGCCGGGGGGACCCCTCCTCCTTCCACCTCGCCTCCGCCTTCTCCCTCTTCCCCCAGTTCATGTTCCACCTCCGCCGCTCCAGCTTCCTCCAGGTCTGGTGTGCCTTGCCTTACCCCAGGTGTGCCTTCCCCCAGGTGTGCCTTCCCCCAGGTGTGCCTTGCCCTAGGTGTGCCTTCCCCCGAATGTGCCTTCTCCCAGGAGTCGCTTCCCTCAGGTATGCCTTCCTCCAAGAATACTGTCATCCAGCATGACCAGGTGTGAGCATGAGCACAGGCAGCGTTAGGTTGTAGGGTGCTGGGGTGTGGAGTGAAGTGGTGTGGCTGTACGCTTGTAGCTGTGTCTGCCTCGCCAGCACGTAGCTGTCGACTGATTCTTGCCTCCTTCTCATCTGCATAACATGGCCACTGTGCTGTTGCATGTGTGTGCATGTGTGCATGTGTCCATGGCAACAGGTGTTCAACCACAGCCCCGACGAGACGGCTTTCTTCCGTCTCATGCTCACCAGAGAAGCCGTTGCCAACTCCCTCCTCATGGTTCAGGTACCCTGCCGTTATTCATGCTTCCAGTACCCTGCCACTCGTACCCCCCTTTGCTTTCCGTTACCTCCCGTTCACTTCTCGCAAACCAGTGCCACTGTTTCTCCTGCCATTTAACTCCTCCTGTTCTTGCCTTCGCCCCCTGTCCTTCCCATGCAGCCCGCTCTGATCGCATACACCTTCGAAGCCCCGCCACATGCTGTGTTGCTGGACGTGTCATCACTGCAGCCCGACTGTGTGCTGCTGTACGATGGATTCTTCCACATTGTGTCTCCTATCCTGTCCTTGCCTTCGCCTCCCATCCCTCTCGTGCAGCCGGCTCTGATTGCATACACCTTTGAGTCCCCACCACATGCTGTGCTGCTGGACGTGTCGTCGCTGCAGCCCGACTGTGTGCTGCTGTATGATGGATTCTTCCACGTTGTTGTGCTGCATGGCTCCACCATCGTGCACTGGAAACACCAGGGATTCCACCTCGACCCTGCGCACGCAGCCTTCAGGTATTTTTCCACCCTTAAAGCCGACTGAGTCACGCTGACAACAGCAGCCCCACACAGCAGCAAACGACTTTGTGCTTCTGTACGAAGGATTCTTGTCGTGCTGCATGGCTCCATCATCGTGCACTGGAAGCACCAGGGCTTCCACCTCGATCCCGCTCATGCAGCCTTCAGGTACAATCCCACCCTTCCACCTCTGACTGGACTCTAGCTGTATGGTCGTGCTGCTGTTCTCTTGATGCAGTGACTGACTTGTCCATTGTCCATCTCCTTGCACAATGAGGACGTGTGTCCTGAAAGCTCTTGTGTGTTTGTTCCTTGCCATGACCTAGCAGGAAACTTCTGGAGCTGCCAATGGAGGATGCATTAGCTCTGGCTAGTGAGAGAATGCCCGAGCCTAGAATCATGGAGTGTGAACAAGGAAGCAGCCAGTCAAGATTCCTAACTTCCAGGCTCAACCCATCAGCCACGCATGCTAGCTCGTCCATGCCTTCATCTCCATCTTTTGTAGAGGAGGCAAAGCATTCGCAGCAGTACATTTTCACAGATGACGTTAGCCTAGAGACCTTTTCACAACATTTGCAGCGCCTCGCTGTTCAATGAAGCATGTATAGCAGTTGAAAGGGCCCTTTTTGCTGATCTGTAGTGGTAGTACAAAGCTTAATCAAGTACCTACAAGCGAAAATTGAATAAGGAATATGAACACACTGCAATTGTTCCGTAAGAGGGCATTACCATGAGTCAAGAGCATCAAGCGGATATGCACAAAAACTTCAAGAACTTGGGCCTCTTTTTGGCTGAAGCCAGCTCCGTCACACGGTTCTCAAGCTCTTTAATCTTCTCATTGGCGACCACCAACGCCTTGGGATCTGTTTCAGACATCTGCACATGAAAGGATGAAGCTTGTGAGTGATAACAACCCGTGAAACAAAATCTCAAGGCAATGAAGTAGGCAAATTACCTTCTGTGCAGAATCTGGAAGAGACAGCTCTTTCACCATGCCTCTTAGCTTGCTCATCTCCATATCCTGCCACGTGGCGGTCTCCCTCACTCGCGCCAGCTCCATGTCTTTCTCCTCTAGCTGAGCTTTCAGCTCGGAATTCTCCTTCCGCGTGGCCTCCAAAGCGGTCTCCAGCTGAAGATGCCTTGGTCCGCTTATCTCTGATTTGAGATTGGAGTCAGGGATATTATCCATGGCGCTAGAGTTCAGTTCAGCAGTTCCGAGTGAGAATTGATCGGCTTCAGGAGTTGAAACGGCGGTGACTTCTTTCTCGACGGACGAGCCTTCGGTGCTGCACTTGCCGATATTTCCAAGAGCGGTATGGCTGTCCGAAGATTCATTGGATGAATCATGCTCATCGAGTTGTTGGTTCTCCTGGCCCTTCGTTTGCGATGAATCTGCATCTGAAGCGTTTTGATCCTCCGACTGTCTCACTGACGAAGTTGCGGTTTCCTGCTGACTGCTAACGGATATGGATTCTTCTAAATCTTTTTTCTCTCGCTGAAGCCTCTCAACCTTCATCTGATACTTCTCCAGTTCATTCTGACACAGTGCAAGCCGCTCTGCTTGCTTCCCTAACCGTTTCTGATAGCTGTCGTCGATACCAGCGAGGTCCTTCTGCAGAGCCAAGCACGTGCTCTCTGATTTCGCAAGAGCGGCTCGAACTTTCTCTAGCTCGGCCTTGAGCGACTTATTCTCCTTCGCTAGATCCATCTGTGCACGTACACCATGCGATAGCACCGCTGGACTAGAAAATGTTGGACCTCGCTGATAAAGCTGTCTGATAAGTCGTTCACTTGCTGCGATGATGCTTCTGAGGTCTGTTTCCTCTCACAAAGCCTTCGCTTATGACAACTTCAAGGTCATGGCTTCACCTGCTCTGCTGATGCCTGTAAGATTGGATGGACGGTACGCATCCCTGACACGCTCGGGTTCATCGAGGTGATTCGTTGTCAAAAAACACTTCACGGGCTCCGGGGGGATCAGCCCGATGACAGCTGCGCGTGCCTCACCTCAGTTCCCGCCAAAAATTCAACTTGCCATGAGTGTCCTCGAGACTAGGCTGAGTCGCTGAATCGCGACGCGACGCGATATGATCGTGTGGCTGAATTCAAAATCCGTAAACCGTGAAGTTTCAGTCCAGGTCCATATTATTATCATAATAGTTATTAATCCAGCTCTGTAAACTCTATCAAATATCCAACTATAGTAAGTTCACATATATCAAAAGTTAACTATTAATCTAACTAATAATTGAAGATCAACTAGTAATCTGCTATGATTCCCATGTACTGTATGCATGGGGGGTTCCTCTTGGCCGCTAGGAGCAGAGCTCCTAACGTTACACCCAAGCACCGCGGTGAGGTGGGAACCATCGCTTAGGACCCTGTTGGGGGGGGAGAGAGAACACAGACAGAAGGATACTGCCCAGGGGCAGGTGAAAATTATCCTCAACCGCCCATCCTTGCTGGCCCTCCCTGCTGCTCCGGTCTTCTGCCCAGTCTTGCTCCAGGACCAGCTGCAATTTTGCTCACTGCAAGTTTTTGCAGTGAAGAACAAGCAAAAGAGTTTTGAGATGAGTCGTCTCTCAAAACCCTGTTTTTGCTCACTGCAGCGACTCTGCAGTGAGGAGAAGAGAGAGAGGAGGAGAGTTTCACATCGCTTGAAACTCATAAGAGAGCGAGTTTTGAGATGGCTCTCAAAACTCAGAGAAGAGGAGAGAGAAGGAACGGAACACTGCAGTGCACTGCAGGACACAACAGAACTGCCACCGGCAGCTCACAACTGGATTTGAGGCGCCTCAAACCAGCATACAAGGTCCTCACACCCCACTCTCACTCTCACTCTCACTCACTCCTCCCCTCACCCTCACACTGCAGCCTGCCGCAGTTCTCAACACTCCACTCGCCTCTCACTCCGCTCGCCTCTCACTCTACAACCCCCTTCACTCTGCTCCTCCATTCACTCTGCTCCCCCCTTCACTCTGCTTCCCCCCTTCACTCTGTTTCCTCCTCCACTCCGCTTCCCAAACTCAGCTTCGCTCGCCCCCCCTCTCAACACTCTGCTCCCCCAGTGTGAGCCATCTCCCGCTCCACTTCACAGCACCGACGGCAGCGACTGAGGTAGGAGCGACTGAGGTAGGAGCGACTGAGGCAGGAGCGACTGAGGCAGGAGCGACTGAGGTAGGAGCGACTGAGGTAGGAGCGACTGAGGCAGCAGCTGCGGTCCCATCACCACTGGTGCCACTGCGGGACTCTCTTCTGCTCCCGCTGCTGCTGCCACCGCTGCAGATCTCCTTTGCTCCTCCACTCCACTTCACCTGTCCTCCTATCACTTCACAGCACCAGAAGCAGCACACTGGAGGGAGGTAGGAGTGAGCGAGGTAGCAGCTGCCGTCTCCATGAGTGGGGAGAGAGGTAGGAGCGCTGATAGGCCGTCTCCTCTGCTCCCCTCTGCTGCAGCGCGCAACACTTCGTCTCCTCCCTCATTCTGCCCCCCCATTCACATCTGCTCGGTCTCCTTTGCGCCTCTGCTCCATCTGCTTCACCTCCTCTGCTCCATCTGCTTCACCTCCTCTGCTCCATCTGCTTCACCTCCTCTGCTAGGCTGCTCTGCCTCCTCTGCTGCTTCGCCTCCTCTCCTAGGCTGCTCTGCCTCATCTGCTGCTCCTTCTCTGCTCCTTCGTCTCCACTGCAGCTCTGCCTCGGCCAACCGTCTGAGATGGGAGAGGAATGGCACCGATTGCACCCAACGAGGGGAATGAGATGGGAGAGAGGTAGGAGCACTGATAGGCCGTTTCCTCTGCTCCCCTGCTGCAGCGCGCAACACTCTCCTCCTAAGTCATTCTGCTCCCCCCTTCACTCTGCAACCCTCAGCGAAGTAGCAGCTGCCGTCTCCATGAGTGGGGAGAGAGGTAGGAGCGCTGATAGGCCTTTTCCGCCTCCGATCCATCTCCTTTGCGCCTCTGCTCATCTCCTTTGCGCCTCTACTCCGTCTGCTTCTCCTTTGCTCCTTTGTCTCCTCTGCTGCTCCTTCTCCTCTGCTGCTCCTTCTCCTCGCAACCCCTTCTCCTCTGCCTCGACCGGCACAAGGCCAGTGAGAGCATGGCACCGACTGCACCCAACGCATGGAAACAACTCAAAGCAGTTGTGAAATAAACCAGGCATCAAACGAATCAAACAGCAAAGGTAAGAAAGAGGATAACCACCGATGGGAGTGAAGATTTATCCACCACCGTGCTCTTTCGCTCTCCATCGCCCTCAGCCTGAGAAGACCGTGCTCCAGCGCCCCTCTGCTCCTCACCTCCTCTGCTCCTCACCTCCTCTGCTGCTCATCTCCTCTGCTCCTCATCTCCTCTGCTCCTCATCTCCTCTGCTCCACCTCCATACAGCTTCACTCTGGAAGCCTTCTCTCCTCGCAGCATCTCTCCTTGCAGCATCCCTCCTCCATTCCTCTGCTCTACTCCCCTTCGCCATCTCCTCTGCTCATGCCACCTCATGCCAGTCCAGCCGCCTCCTCTCCACCTCATGCCGCTGCCTCGCCTTTCACGTCCGTTCACCGGCTTTCACTCCTCCCAACACCAGCAGCAGCACCAGGAAGCGTTGACTGGCCTTCACGCCCGTTCACCGGCTTTCACTCCTCCCAACACCAGCAGCAGCACCAGGAAGCGTTGACTGGCCTTCACGCCCGTTCACCGGCTTTCACTCCTCCCAACACCAGCAGCAGCACCAAGAAGCGTTGACTGGCCTTCATGCCCGTTCACCGGCTTTCACTCCTCCCAACACCAGCAGCAGCACCAGGAAGCGTTGACTGGCCTTCACGCCCGTTGACTGGCGTTCATGCCCATCTCCTTTGCTCCTCCACTCCTCTTCACCAGTCCTCCTATCACTCCACAGCACCAGCAGCAGCACACTGGAGGGAGGTAGGAGTGAGCGAGGTAGCAGCTGCCATCTCCGTGAGTGGGGAGAGAGGTAGGAGCTGCCGTCTCCTCTACTCTCCTGCTGCAGCGCCCAACACTCCCCTCCTCCCTCATTCTGCTCCCCCCTTCACTCTGCAGTGCTCAGTGAGGTAGCAGCTGCCGTCTCCGTGAGTGGGGAGAGAGGTAGGAGTGCTGATAGGCCGTCTCCTCTGCTCCCCTGCTGCAGCGCACAACACTCCGCTCCCGTGCAGCAAAGTCCTGAGAAACGGGAAGAGACAGACTCCCAGGACGCATGAGGCATTGCAGCAATAGAACCCGACAAGTGACAAGGCTCAGGGAAATGCTCGAGCAACACGACCGTCCATCTGAAAGTTTCTTAAAAAGAGCAACAAATCAAAATCAGGCAAAAAGGCACTCACCCACTGGCAGTGGCAGGGAATCTTCGCTCCTTCTCCTCTGCTCCTTGCTCCTTTGCCTCCTCTTCTCCTTCACTCCTTAGCTCCTTGCTCCCTGCTCCTCTGTTCTGCAGCTCCTTTGCTCCTTCCTCCTCTGCTCCTTTTCTCCACAGCTACTCCCGTCCCCTCTGCGCCATCTCCTCTGCTCCATCTCACTTCCTGCAGAACAGAAGGAGAAAAGCCATGAGCTCATTGCACTGGTTCGCTTCACCGCTGCTCATTGCACCGATTGCACCCCATGCCAACAAGCGATTCAGAATGATTGCAAAACGAATGCAGCAATGACCATCAACAGAGAGCAGCAAAGGAGATACTCACTGGCAGGGGCAGGGGATTCTCCTTCACTCCACATCTCCTCTGCGCCATCTCCTTCACTCCACATCTCCTCTGCGCCATCTCCTTCACTCCACATCTCCTCTGCGCCATCTCCTTCACTCCACGTCTCCTCTGTGCCATCTCGTCTACTCCTCTGATCCGCAGCTCCTTCGCTCCTTCCTCCTCTGCTCCTTCGCTCCACAGCTACTCCCATGCCCTCTGCGCCATCTTTTCTGCTCCATCTCAATTCCTGCAGAACAGAAGAAGAGGGCCGTTACTGGCAAGGCTACACCCACAAGCTACAGACGCAAGGGATGTGTTTTGACTCTTACACTTGGTCTTCTTCGTTGCAGCGGGGGGCGAAGGGCGGATGAACTTACGCTGGGCCATTGACCCCGAAGTACCCAAGGGAAGGGGGTTACCGGATGCTCTTACACTGGGGCCGTTGCCCGAAGTACCAAAGGGGTAAGCGCCTGTGAACCGTGGGGTTCACCTCAACCAGCAACGACGGAGGAGGAGGAGGAGGGGGAGGAGGAGGAGGAGGAGAGGAGGAGGAGGAGGAGGAGGAGGAGGAGGAGGAGGAGGAGGAGGAGGAGGAGGAGGAGGAGGAGGAGGAGGAGGAGGAGGAGGGAGGAGGAGGAGGAGGAGGAGGAGGAGGAGGAGGAGGCAATGATGGGGTGTGTACGGAGCATGGAAACTGAAAAAGGGGTCAGGGATAGGGAACTTAGCCGTTAGTTGGTTGGCGTTGGCGTTGGATTGGTGTCGCACCATCCCATGCCATCTTCTCTCGCCCGCGCCTCTCCCCTGTTGCATCCGCGCCTCCCCCCTGCACATTGCATCCGCGCCTCTCCCCTGATGCATCCGCGCCTCCCCCCTGATGTATCACTTTTCCGCAATGTGTGCATGAGCCTCTGCCACTCCTGCACGGACGGAGAAGAGTTGCACCAGCGAGATGAGATGAGATGGACCGAAAGTGATTGCGCAATTGAGACATATATTTGATAGCAAGTGTTCAGATGGCACAGAATCGAGACAGAAAATTGGAAAAGCGTCCAGATTGACAGAATCTTGACGGACACCAGTAACTCACCACAAACGGAAAGCGTTTACATCAGCCATTAACAGGAGTGCGTCAACAAACTCCTTCGTTCCCCACGTTTCCAGCGATAGGAAATCAGCGGATAGGACCCTCCACGCTACGCGACGCGGGACACTTTCCTGCCCGCACGGAGAAAGGAAACGAAAGAAAGGAACGAGCGAAACGAAAACGAGAAGATTAGACTAGGACAGAAACGAGTAGACCAGCCGTGATACGAAACGAGTAGACCAGCCACAAATCCGTCATGAAAAGCAACTGCAGAAACGGAAAACGCTAACTCACGCATTCATTGACGGCGATCGTCGGCGTTCCTTCGTCGCGATGCTTCGCGAGCTGCTCTTCGCCGTCAATCCTCGTCGCGAGCTCTTTCGCCGTCAATCCTCGTCGCGAGCTCTTCCGCCGTCGATCCTCGTCGCGAGCTCTTCCGCCGTCGATCCTCGTCGCGAGCTCTTCCGCCGTCGATCATCGTCGCGAGCTCTTCCGCCGTCGATCATCGTCGCGAGCTCTTCCGCCGTCGATCATCGTCGCGAGATCTTCCGCCGTCGATCATCGTCGCGAGATCTTCCGCCGTCGATCATTGTCGCGAGCTCTTCCGCCGTCGATCATCGTCGCGAGCTCTTCCGCCGTCGATCATCGTCGCGAGCTCTTCGGCCGTCGATCATCGTCGCGAGCTCTTCCGCCGTCGTCAAGTCTGACGTCCACGCGTCTCCGTCGCCAGCGCCGTCGTCGGTAGTGGCCTTGGCTTTGCGAACATCCTCAGCAGTAACTTCGCGAAGAATACGCTCAGCAAAAACGTCGGGAAGAATATTATCAGCAGTAACGCCGCGAAGGAGAATACGCTAAGCAGTAACGTCGTGAAGCAGAAACGCCGTGAAGCAGTAACGTCGTGAAGAACATCCGCAGAAATATCGTCGGCTTCAGGAGCTCCTCAGTAGATTTATGAATGTCCACAGCAGTAACGTCGGGAAGAATATCCTTAGCGATAACGTCGCGTCGTCAAACTCTGAGGTCGAGAGAAGATCCTCCGTATAAGTAAACTCGTGAGCGATGCAAGCTCCTCCTTGTAACGTTGCACAAGGCGATTAGTCTTAAAGGAAAGCGTTGACGCGCGTCCCTAATACTAAAGGTCGCAGTTATCGTTGCGGTTGCTCCACGTTGTTAAGGTCGCAGCCACTTGTGGTTCAACCACAAGTTGTCTGAGCTCCACGTCGCGACTCGCGATCATGACACCGAAAACGAATCGATTAATCTGTTGTACTAAGGATCTGACGAAACGAATGAATGGTGGAATAAGCCATTCGGCCAGAACCTGACTGTCGTCCAGTCAGGATGAAACAGATTGTGATACTAAGCTTTCTAACGAGCCTGAGGTGTCGCACTGATACTAGTAGTAGCGCTGCGATGATGGCTTAAAATTTCACGATCAGTCGTCGTAGCAATGCTTAACCTCCGGGATAACTGCAGCATCACGTCTCGTCGAGCACGGAACTGAATGATTATGAAACTGATCGATGAGTCATGCTAGCGATTATGAAGTTCTCACTAGGCTGTAAGCTCCTGCTACCATCCTCCTTAAGAATCTTAAGCTTAACGCGCTTCGGGAATAGGCCACGTCACGAGAATTACCTCCACGGTACAATAATCTAAGGAAGCCATGGCTACGGATGAATCGAGTTAGAGAATGTGACGAGATTCTTTGCTGAGACAAAGCCTGCATAGGGAATGCCTGAGAGGAATTGGCTTGGGGTGGCCAAGTGACGAAGATTTGGGGAAAACAAGTTTCAGTACGATGATGCAGGCTTAAAGCGGGTGATAAGACGGTTAAAAACGGTTAGAAGTGTTTGTGATAGGTGAAAGTCGGTGGCGGGAAGTGAGTTGGGGTGACGGTAAGAGAAAGGTGAAAGGGAAGCAACTGAGCGGCAAGCAGCGGCAAGTCGAGTCGCCATGCGAAGTTGCTCCCCTCCACCCAAAGTTTCCCCGAAGGCAGGGGTTTCCTGAAGGCAGGGATCCCCCCGCCACGGCAAGCCCGAGGCGGGGAAGTGGCTGCAAAGTCTGCTGACGAGTTGCGCGCCGCAGAGTTTCCGCCAACGATGTGCGCTGAAGGCGGGAACGGCGGAAAGTGGTGGGTGGCAGCCAGCGACACCTTTGGCGACCAGATGGCCTGTGCGCGGGCAAGAGCCGCAGTGTGCGACGAAATTCTGCGTGAGAACGAATTGTTACACTGTGATGACGGGATGCTACAGTTTTCAAGTCGGATAATCTGACGGCTGAGATGATCGGAATGATTCGGCATTGGCATGATGTGGATGTCGTGACTTGGCGTCACCATGTGCCATTCTCGAGGTGACTCGCTTGTGTCAGTCGGACCACGGTTTCAAATTTGAGCCGGATTGTCAACTGCACCAATCAGGCGCGACGCCAGAAACAATGACAAGGCCGCCATGGCTGCCGAGTTCATCCTCGTTAAAATATATCAGACACCGAGTGCACGTCCATCACACCATTATCAACAGAGATGATGGAAAAGACAATACCCCTCAAAGAAATTAAACATGCAAATACTCATAAGCTATCCTTATGGACACTATATATTGTCTGTACTGCTGCATTATGCAAATACATGTTGGTTACGAGGCACGCTCAGACCTCCCCGGGAAATTACACTAGATTGGAAAAATGTCAGCCACAAACGCAATGGTACACAAATCACAGTTTTTTAGCACACGGTTTTCTAGCGGGAACTGATGCATTACAGCACCCACTCACTGCAATGTGAACCATGCATCTTACAAGAGAGTTCCATACCACTGTCAGACGGGCAAAAATAGTACGATGATTCGGCTGTTACTTGGAAGGCGGATAGATGAAGTGAGAAAGACAAATCACAGCTGTGTTGCAACAACACATTGTCAGGATTGCACTTAAGATGTCAACCCCGGCCGTCCTCCTTATCGTTAAAAACCTTGTGAACGCCAGCCTGCAAGCACAAGCGCAGCGACAGGAAGAAGGAAACCCAGAGTCTCAGACTCCCAGCCAGCCTCACAGATGCTTCGCATGGCATGGGAGAGTTGTCGAATGACAATTGTGGCTATTCAGACGGCATTCGTTGGCAGGGCCACCAGACTATCGGGGCTCACGGCATCATGCTTGCTGTGCATCATCAGACGTGGATGGCTGCTGGCACTCACAGCAGTGGAGGCTTTAAGCAACTCGCGGATGGCCATGGTGGCATATCCTGACGCGGGCAGAGTGAACTCCACCTGCAGGGCCACCCTCACTCCCTCAACCTGTGCTCTGCGCACGCCCTCCTGTGCTGCTCCCTCCGCCCCTCGCTCTCCCCTCCTCCCTGCCGCTTGTCCCTCCCCCTCCCCACTACCTGCCGCAGCGTCCTTTTCTCCCTGCTTCACCTCCTCCTTCTCATCACCACCCTCCTCTTTCCCTTTCTCCACCTCACTCTCAACCACCCCTTCCGCTTTCTCTCCCTCCTCTGCCGCCGCACCTGCCTCAGCTTCGCCTTTCCCAGCGTCACCCTCGTCCCCATCAGCCCCCTCCACCACGGCCCCCATGGGCCCCTCTTCAATCGCCCCAATGGGCCCCTCCCCAATCCCCAGTCGCGCCAGCTCGTCTCTTCCCAGCCTCACTCCGTCTGATGATGCCAGCACCACCACTGCTGGCACTGCCCCTGCCGCTTCCCCTCCTGCCCCTACCCCCACCTCTCCGCCACTTGCTGCCTCAGCAGCAGCGTCAGCAGGAGCTCCTGCCTTTCCCTCTGCTCTCTGAGCCTGTTTGAGGGCTCCCTTGTACCCCGGCTGCTTGAACCCATAGTACACATGCGCTGCCTCCACCACTGCAGGGGCGTCACTACCAGAAGCCGCAGCAGCGGCACCACTAACACTAGTAGGAGCATCACTGCCAGGCGTAGTAGCAGCATCACCGTTAGCAGTAGCAGCAGGGGAATCAGAGGAAGCAGCACCAACTGCTACTGCTGCAGCTGCTGCTGTTGAGTTCGAGTGTGCTGCTGGACCCACAGATGGGGCAGCAGGTGGGGTGGCAGAGGCAGGAGCGGCGGCAGAGGTAGAGGGAGTGGGGGCAGGAGTTGCGAGGGCAGCAGCAGCAATGCGGTCCAAATCAGTCTCAGCCAGCACTTGCGTGGGACGCCAGTACGCCAGGACTTTCCTGTGATGGGTTGTGGCAGGTAAGAAGAGGGTGAATCGAAATGACTTCTGAGTCGACTTATAAGGCAGCAGCAGCGATGCGGTCCAAATCAGTCTCTGCCAACACTTGTGTGGGACGCCAGTATGCCAGGACTCTCCTGTGATGGGTTGTATGGAAGGGGGTGGGATGAATCAGCAGAGGGAGTGGGGGCAGGAGTTGCGAGGGCAGCAGCAACGATGCGGTCCAAATCAGTCTCGGCCGACACCTGTGTGGGACGCCAGTACGCCAGGACTTTCCTGTGATGGGTTGTAGGGGAATGAAACTGGGGAAGGGAATCAGAGTGAGAATAAGTGCCCACGCAGGGGAGATAAGGTGGGGGATGCAGGGAGGGAAAGATTTACAGAAGTGGGAGCGGGAGGGGGGATGCGAAAGGTGTGGCGCGGGAAACGGCGGGAAACGGCTTGGAGCAACAGGGTGCCTCCCAAGGTGTCTCATAGAGTGCCTCTCAGGGAGAAGTGAGAGAGTGAGACGAAGATTTGGCTCACCAGTTGTAGTCAGAGGGCCGCTCTAACAAGTAAGAGGGTGAGTGAGAGGGTGAGTGAGAGGGTGAGTTAGAGGGTGAGTGAGAGGGTGAGTTAGAGGGTGAGTGAGAGGGTGAGAGGGGAATTGGCCTCACCAGTTGTAGTCGGAGGGCCGCTGTAACAAGCGCCTGTAGCCCCCTGGAATGCGCTCAATGGAATACTCCCTGCCATGCACGATGGGTGATAGTGAGAGGGATGAGAGGAGGGTGGGCGGGTGAGAGAGAGAAAGAAGTGACCTCGCCGCAAGAGCCTGTAGCCCCCTGGGATGCGCTCAACAGAATACTCCCTGTCATGCACGATGGGTGGTGCATAAGATGAGAGGGAGAGGGAGAGGGAGAGTGAGCGGGTGAGTGAGAGGGTAAGAACGCATGTATACCCCTGGATGTGCTCAATGGATTACTCCCTGTCATAGTATGATGGTGGTGGGTGGCTGGTAGGTCTATTGGCAGGTAGGTCTATTGGCAGGTAGGTCTATTGGCTGGTAGGTCTATTGGCAGGTAGGTCTATTGGCTGGTAGGTCTATTGGCAGGTAGGTCTATTGGCTGGTAGGTCTATTGGCAGGTAGGTCTATTGGCTGGTAGGTCTATTGGCTGGTAGGTCTATTGGCTGGTAGGTCTATTGGCAGGTAGGTCTATTGGCAGGTAGGTCTATTGGCTGGTAGGTCTATTGGCTGTTTGTTCTATTGGCTGGTAGGTCTATTGGCTGGTAGGTCTATTGGCAGGTAGGTCTATTGGCAGGTAGGTCTATTGGCTGGTAGGTCTATTGGCTGGTAGGTCTATTGGCTGGTAGGTCTATTGGCTGGTAGGTCTATTGGCAGGTAGGTCTATTGGCAGGTAGGTCTATTGGCAGGTAGGTCTATTGGCTGGTAGGTCTATTGGCAGGTAGGTCTATTGGCTGGTAGGTCTATTGGCAGGTAGGTCTATTGGCTGTTTGTTCTATTGGCAGGTAGGTCTATTGGCAGGTAGGTCTATTGGCTGGTAGGTCTATTGGCTGGTAGGTCTATTGGCAGGTAGGTCTATTGGCTGGTAGGTCTATTGGCAGGTAGGTCTATTGGCTGGTAGGTCTATTGGCAGGTAGGTCTATTGGCTGGTAGGTCTATTGGCAGGTAGGTCTATTGGCTGGTAGGTCTATTGGCTGGTAGGTCTATTGGCAGGTAGGTCTATTGGCAGGTAGGTCTATTGGCAGGTAGGTCTATTGGCTGGTAGGTCTATTGGCTGGTAGGTCTATTGGCTGGTAGGTCTATTGGCTGGTAGGTCTATTGGCAGGTAGGTCTATTGGCAGGTAGGTCTATTGGCTGGTAGGTCTATTGGCTGGTAGGTCTATTGGCTGGTAGGTCTATTGGCTGGTAGGTCTATTGGCAGGTAGGTCTATTGGCAGGTAGGTCTATTGGCAGGTAGGTCTATTGGCAGGTAGGTCTATTGGCAGGTAGGTCTATTGGCTGGTAGGTCTATTGGCAGGTAGGTCTATTGGCAGGTAGGTCTATTGGCAGGTAGGTCTATTGGCAGGTAGGTCTATTGGCTGGTAGGTCTATTGGCAGGTAGGTCTATTGGCTGGTAGGTCTATTGGCAGGTAGGTCTATTGGCTGGTAGGTCTATTGGCAGGTAGGTCTATTGGCTGGTAGGTCTATTACCTGGTAGGTCTATTGGCAGGTAGGTCTATTGGCAGGTAGGTCTATTGGCTGGTAGGTCTATTGGCAGGTAGGTCTATTGGCAGGTAGGTCTATTGGCTGGTAGGTCTATTGGCTGGTAGGTCTAATGGCAGGCAGGTCTATTGGCAGGTAGGTGCAGCGTATGAGCGGGCGGTGCAGCGTATGTGTGTGCGAGCTGTGCTTGCTGGTGAAGATGACTATGCCTTACTGCAGTGGAGGCAAAGTATTAAAGGTGCCACAAAGCTCATGCATATGCGGTGCATACACACATGCATGTGTGCATACATGTGTGCATGTGTGCTTGCTGGTGAAGAGACCTATGCTGTCCTGTGGTGGAGGAGGGACGCAGGGACACACGTACCCTGTGCTGTCACACACGCAACTCTTTACACATGCAACATGCATACAAGCATGCACGAGACCCATGACTCACTTGACGCTGTGCTTGCTGGTGAAGAGATCTATGCCATCCTGTGGTGGAGGAGGGACACAGGGAGAGGTGAAGCAGTGAGATGGGTGGGAAGATGGGAGGTGGGAACTAGCATGAGAATTCAAGAATGGGAAGAGAAGAACTATTAACAGAATGAAAGCAGAACGAAAAGGTAGTCAGGTACCCTTCCTTTTCCACTAGCGATGGGCTCCCTTGTTACAGCAACGCAGCAGGGAAGACAAGCAGGGAGGAACACACCCTGGCTGTGAGAGACTGTCGGCAGGGAGGAAGTGGTCAGCAGTGGATTTGTCGCGGTACTGAGTGGTCTACAGAGCCAGGTACAGGCATGGCGGGCGCCACAGGGAGGTGTAGAAGGCTACCATAGGGACAAGCTAGAAGGCAAGGTGCAAGGGAAGGTGGAAGGGAAGGTGGAGGGCGAGATGGACGGAGGGGAAGGGCAAAAGGAGAGGGTGACAGGAGAAGACATACCTTGGCAGCGAGAGAGTGGAAGACTTGTGCTGTGGAGTTGGTGGGGTACTGAATGGAACAGCTGAGAAAGGGGAGGGAGAGGGAGGAGAGGGGAAGGAGAGGGAGGAGAGGGTGGAGAGGGGAAGGAGAGGGAGGACGGGTAAGGTGAGAGGGGAAGGGAATGAAGTAGGCTTGACCAGACCAGAGGCAAGCAGTGGCATTATCGTCTGTCAAAATGGAAAGGCGTTCGCATGTGTGTTCATCTTCAACAACACCTCATGCATAGGCAGAAGCACGGCACAAACACCTGCAATGCTGCATAGGGTATGGGATTTCAACCCATGCCCATATGTCTGTGCTATTTCCCAGGCGAACTCAGTCCCGCAGAATCAGGAGGAGTGCAAAGTGCTTGTGAGGACACTCGAGCCAGAGCTCTCACTCACCCCGGCAGTGGTAGCACGACTTGGTCGATGGAGTACACTCCTCTCTCCGCCTCCTCCTCACTAACCACCCGCACCTCCTCCCCCTCCGCCCTCGCCTCCACCACCACTGCTGCTGCCTCCTCTGCCTCCGCCTCTGCCTCTGTGCCCCTCATGCCCACCCCGTCCGCCCCCACGTTTGCTGCTCTCCCTGCTGCTGCTGCTGCAGCAGTAGCAGCACCAGAAGCCATGGCGGTGCTGGTGACAGCAGGAGGGGAGCAAAGAACAAGATCACCTGCAACCACTCGGGTGGAGCCTGCAGGGAAGGGAAAGATGGTTGGAGGGTGTAGGGAAGGGTAAACATGTGGTGCAGTACGGTGGTGGTGGATACGGGGGAGTTCAAAGCACAAGGTCACCTGCTACCACAGTGCTGGAGCCTGCTGGAATTAAGCTATCTGTTCTAGTACAGTGTGATATGCGGTGCAGTGCGATATGTCTCTCTCACCGTATGTTTTGATGCGGTGTGAGGCAGCATGGTTCCACAAGTAGCTCTGATAGCTGTGCACGTACCTGGTCATGTTGAAAGGGGAAGAGGGGAGCAGAAGAAAAGGGGACAAGAAGCGAAGAGGAGGGGGGTTCATGCTGAGAAATTGCACTGGTAACCGTATGTCTTGATGCGGTGTGAGGCGGCATGGTTCCACAGGTAGCTCTGATAGCTGTGCACGTACCTGGTCATGTTAAAGAAGGAAGGGAGGGGAAGAGGAGAAGGGTGAAGAGAGAAAAATGAGGGGGAGGAAAGAGGTTCCACAGGAGCACGTACCTGGTCATGAGCAAGAGGGCAGGAGGGAAAGAGTGGGAACTCACATGTTTGAGAGAGCAGGGACCAGCCTGACAGCTATGCGCAGGTTTGAGAGAGTGCGGACTCACATGGGGGACTGACATGGGGGACTCACATGGGGGACTGACATGGGGGACTGACATGGGGGACTGACATGGGGGACTGACATGGGGGACTGACATGGGGGACTGACATGGGGGACTCACATGGGGGACTGACATGGGGGACTCACATGGGGGACTGACATGGGGGACTCACATGGGGGACTGACATGGGGGACTCACATGGGGGACTGACATGGGGGACTGACATGGGGGACTCACATGGGGGACTGACATGGGGGACTGACATGGGGGACTGACATGGGGGACTGACATGGGGGACTCACATGGGGGACTGACATGGGGGACTCACATGGGGGACTGACATGGGGGACTCACATGGGGGACTGACATGGGGGACTCACATGGGGGACTCACATGGGGGACTGACATGGGGGACTCACATGGGGGACTGACATGGGGGACTCACATGGGGGACTGACATGGGGGACTCACATGGGGGACTGACATGGGGGACTGACATGGGGGACTGACATGGGGGACTGACATGGGGGACTCACATGGGGGACTGACATGGGGGACTGACATGGGGGACTGACATGGGGGACTCACATGGGGGACTGACATGGGGGACTGACATGGGGGACTCACATGGGGGACTGACATGGGGGACTCACATGGGGGACTGACATGGGGGACTCACATGGGGGACTCACATGGGGGACTGACATGGGGGACTCACATGGGGGACTGACATGGGGGACTCACATGGGGGACTCACATGGGGGACTCACATGGGGGACTGACATGGGGGACTGACATGGGGGACTCACATGGGGGACTGACATGGGGGACTCACATGGGGGACTGACATGGGGGACTCACATGGGGGACTGACATGGGGGACTCACATGGGGGACTGACATGGGGGACTGACATGGGGGACTGACATGGGGGACTGACATGGGGGACTCACATGGGGGACTCACATGGGGGACTCACATGGGGGACTGACATGGGGGACTGACATGGGGGACTCACATGGGGGACTGACATGGGGGACTCACATGGGGGACTCACATGGGGGACTCACATGGGGGACTCACATGGGGGACTGACATGGGGGACTCACATGGGGGACTGACATGGGGGACTGACATGGGGGACTGACATGGGGGACTCACATGGGGGACTGACATGGGGGACTGACATGGGGGACTCACATGGGGGACTGACATGGGGGACTCACATGGGGGACTGACATGGGGGACTCACATGGGGGACTGACATGGGGGACTCACATGGGGGACTGACATGGGGGACTGACATGGGGGACTCACATGGGGGACTGACATGGGGGACTGACATGGGGGACTGACATGGGGGACTCACATGGGGGACTGACATGGGGGACTGACATGGGGGACTCACATGGGGGACTGACATGGGGGACTCACATGGGGGACTGACATGGGGGACTCACATGGGGGACTGACATGGGGGACTCACATGGGGGACTCACATGGGGGACTGACATGGGGGACTCACATGGGGGACTGACATGGGGGACTCACATGGGGGACTCACATGGGGGACTCACATGGGGGACTGACATGGGGGACTGACATGGGGGACTCACATGGGGGACTGACATGGGGGACTCACATGGGGGACTGACATGGGGGACTCACATGGGGGACTGACATGGGGGACTCACATGGGGGACTCACATGGGGGACTGACATGGGGGACTGACATGGGGGACTGACATGGGGGACTCACATGGGGGACTCACATGGGGGACTCACATGGGGGACTGACATGGGGGACTGACATGGGGGACTCACATGGGGGACTGACATGGGGGACTCACATGGGGGACTCACATGGGGGACTCACATGGGGGACTCACATGGGGGACTGACATGGGGGACTCACATGGGGGACTGACATGGGGGACTGACATGGGGGACTCACATGGGGGACTCACATGGGGGACTGACATGGGGGACTCACATGGGGGACTGACATGGGGGACTCACATGGGGGACTCACATGGGGGACTCACATGGGGGACTCACATGGGGGACTGACATGGGGGACTCACATGGGGGACTGACATGGGGGACTCACATGGGGGACTGACATGGGGGACTGACATGGGGGACTGACATGGGGGACTCACATGGGGGACTGACATGGGGGACTCACATGGGGGACTGACATGGGGGACTCACATGGGGGACTGACATGGGGGACTCACATGGGGGACTCACATGGGGGACTGACATGGGGGACTCACATGGGGGACTGACATGGGGGACATCACACCTCATTATGCCATGCGCAAGTGACTCACATGAGGCGCATGGTGCGCGGGATGAAGCCCAGCGCTTGCACCAGATTACGTGGGTTGCGCTTCAGCCCTGACAGCTGCCGAGCAGAGAAAAGTGTGGATAGTGAACGGGGTGTTGCGGGTGGGGAGACGGAAGAGATTCAGAGGAGCTGAGAGGCATGCTGTGGGGGTCCGGACCATCCTGGGATGAAGCCCAGCGCCTGCACCAGATTGCGCGGGTTGCGCTTCAGCCCTGACAGGTGGGGTGGGGAGCGAAAAGAAGGCAGTTCCTTAAAAGAACTGAGAAGGTCAATAGATTGGAAAGTGCACTTCTAAAAGGGAGAGAGTCAAGTAGTTCTGGAGCAATGGGAGGAATCAGAAACGAGATGAGAGGGGGACGATGCGAGTTCGGCTCACCACTCCTCGTTCGGCCACCATTCTGGTCGGCATGTGGATCATGGCAAGGTCGGCGTCTTTTGTCTTCATCCACAGGCGCCTGGCCTCCGCCGCCCCTTCCGATTGTGGCGAGATGAACGGTTGAGATCAGCGTTGAGTAGAGATATGTCACAGACACACGCGAAGCAGACTCTATATGATGTAAGGAGTTCTTGGAGAAAGCTTGATTTTGAGGCATAATTATGAAAATAGGGCGGACTTGGAAGGCACAGCAGAGCAGAGCACAGCACGGCATGACATGAGGGAACGTCTCTGTCTCTGGGTTTGAGCAGCAGGTGCTCAACGGGGCACGGCGATGCAAGCTAAGACGATTAAGGTAAGGCATGGGCGAACAAGGCAAGGGAAGGCGATGAGGCTGAGAGAATATCTCTGTCTCTGGGCTTGAGCAGCAGGTCCAGAACGGGGCACGGTGATGCAATGCGCGACAGACAAAGCAAGGGATTGAAGCAAAGCATGGGCGGGCAAGGCAAGGCGAGCGAGGCAAGAAGAGGAAGGTGAGAGGATATCTCCATTTCTGGGTTTGAGCAGGAGGTCAACAGCAGGGCACGGCAAGGCAAGGCCAGGCAAGGTGCGGAGAGGCGAGGCGAGGTGAAACGAGGCTAGGTGAAGGGGTTGAGGAAGGTGAGAGGATATCTCCATCTCTGGGTTTGAGCAGCAAATCAACGGCACCCTGCCAGTCGCCCCTCAGCAGCGCTGCTCCCACCGTGTGCGTCGCCACTGGCCCCACTCCAAAGCGCTGCTCACAGGGGGGTCAGGAGAGGGGTAGTACAAGAGGAGTGGGAATGAGAAGTGTGAATTGGAGTGAGCTCGTCTCTGCTCCCACCGTGTGCGTCGCCACGGGACCCACTCCAAAGCGCTGCTCACAGGGAAGGGGGGCGGAGGGGGTGGGGAACAAGGGCAAGAGTTGGGTGTCTGCGGCGGGTTGAAAAGCTATGAGATGTGAGTTTGTCCCTGCTCCCACTGTATGTGTTGCCACTGGACGCACTCCAAAGCACTGCTCACAGTGAGTGTGGATATGAGGGGAGGGTGAGGGGAGGGTGGGGAACGCAGCACCCACCTGCACCAGCAGCACCCAGCAGCACCCAGCAGCACCCAGCAGCACCCAGCAGCACCCCAGTAGCACCCAGCAGCACCTAGCAGCACCCAGTAGCACCTAGCAGCACCCAGCAGCACCCAGCAGCACCCAGCAGCACCCAGCAGCACCCAGCAGCACCCAGCAGCACCCAGCAGCACCCAGCAGCACCCAGCAGCACCCAGCAGCACCCAGCAGCACCCAGCAGCACCCAGCAGCACCCAGCAGCACCCAGCAGCACCCAGCAGCACCCAGCAGCACCCAGCAGCACCCAGCAGCACCCAGCAGCACCCAGCAGCACCCAGCAGCACCCAGCAGCACCCAGCAGCACCCAGCAGCACCCAGCAGCACCCAGCAGCACCCAGCAGCACCCAGCAGCACCCAGCAGCACCCAGCAGCACCCAGCAGCACCCAGCAGCACCCAGCAGCACCCAGCAGCGCCCACTTGCAGGCCAAAGTAGTTGATGATGCCATGAGAGCGGAGTCCCTCTGCTGCTGCTGTAATGGCGTCCAGACTGGGCGCTCTCACGGCCCTGGGAAATGGGTGGGAGGGAGAAGGCATGGAGGATTGGGGAGGGATGGGCGGGGAGGAAGAAGGCATGAGTAGAGCGGTGTTATGGTGCCTCGATTGCCGCTGTGATGGCGTCCAGACAGGGCGCTCTCACAGCCCTGGGGAATGGGTGGGGGCGGGTGATAAGAAAACGGTTGCCAGCGAGCTGCCTCAGCAAGGAGTGGTTTCAAAAGGTGGTAGTTGTGAGGAGGGGGTTGGTAAGCATTTTGAAAACACACCCACTTGAGAGTGACGACAAAGCGGTTGCCTGCCAGCTGTCTAGCACAAGAGGCTGGTCCACAAAACGGTAGTCATGATGGGGGGGGGAGGTGTAGGAATTCGCATACGCTGTCCATAAGAAGCAGACCCACCTGAGAATAATAAGAAAGCGATTTCCTGCGAGCTGCCCCAGCACGAGCGGCTGGTCCACCATGTGGCAGTTATGGGGAGGAAGGGGGGGGAGGAGCTCACCTAAAAGTGATGAGGAAGCGATTTCCTGCGAGCTGCCCCAGCGATGTAGAGCATTATTTAGAATTTCCAGAAATACTCTACATTCCCAGCACGAGGGGTTGGTCCACGAGGTGGTAGTCATGGGGGGGGGGGGGGAGGATGTTGAGAAGGCCAGTCATGAGGAGGAGTGGGGGGAAGGGGCTCACCTGAGCGTTATAAGGAAGAGGTTGCCGGCCAGCTGCCCCAGCACGAGAGGTTGCTCAACAAGGCGGTTGTCGCCCACTCGGATGCCAAACAGCGTCAGGGTATCCCAAGAGAACGGTGGGGTGGGAGGGGGTTAGGCCGGAGGGGGTTGCGCACCTGAGCGTGACACAAAAGCGGTTGCCTGCGAGTTGCCCCAGCACGAGGGGTTGATACACAAGGCGGTAGTCATGGGGAGGGGGGGGATAAGGGGCCCACCTGAGCGTGACAACGAAGCGGTTGCCTGCCAGCTGCCCCAGCACGAGAGGCTGTTCAACAAGGCGGTAGTCGCCCACTCGGATGCCAAACAGCTTGGCGTTGAGTGACGCTACTTTGCGCGCTGACTGGTTGGACACTGTCACCTGGTGGTGTGGTGGGGAAGGGAGTGGTGGGATGTGGTGCGATGCGGTGAGTGGTGTGTGGTGTGGTGTGCGGTGTGGTGTGGTGGGGTGTGGTGGGTGTGGTGCAGCATGTCAAGGGAGGGCCACATGCCAATATCACACCAGCCACTGAAACAGCTTGCCGTTGAGTGATGCCACTTTGCGCGCTGACTTGGACACTGTCACCTGGTGGGGAGCGAGGGGTGGGGTGGGGTGGGGAGGTGTGGTGTGGTGCGCCCATGGGCCTCACTGTGACCGACCCTTCCAGCTCCCATAGCTCCCTGCAACCGCTCTGCACCCTCCCACCCTCTGCACAGTGACGGCGCGCTTGTCCTTGGTGCTGGAGAAGCCAAGCGCGTGCGGCTGCACACCCAGGTAGTGCCTGTGGAATTGACTGTGTGACCACCCATCCCAACACCCACAACCATTCTGCACCCACAGTCTGCACCCAACTCCCCACAACCGCTGTCCACCCACCCTCTGCACAGTAACGGCTCTCTTGTCCTTGGTGCCTGAGAAGCCCAGAGCACGGGGCTGCACGCCCAGGTAGCGCCCCACGAGCGCCATGGCCCTGTCTGTCACAACCCACCCATTCAGCACCCACTCACCCGCTGCACAGTAACGGCGCGCTTGTCCTTGGTGCCGGAGAAGCCCAGCGCCCTGGGTTGCACGCCCAGGTAGCGCCCCACGAGCGCCATGGCCTCGTTGGTGTCCTTGTTCTCCTTCAACACGTGGAACCTGGAGGGGGAGAGAGGACACCAGCTTATGCGCAGAGAGGTGGGCGCGTGGCATGGTTACCAGCGCGACGGGCGTGTGGGCAGGTAGCGCCCCACGAGCGCCATGGCCTCGTTGGTGTCCTTGTTCTCCTTCAACACGTGGAACCTGGTAGGGAGGGGGTTGGTGGATGGAGGTGGGATGGTGAGGTGGAGAAGTGGCGGATGAGAGGGGGTAAAGGGACAGGTATGCTTGTGAGAGTGCATGCAAGACTGCCTGTATGCATCCATGCACCAGGCCAATCCAACCCCACACATGCCATGCCACGCACATGAGGAAGCGGCGGGCAGTGGTTGCAGGCACCCCATCCGCGCCCTGGTACACACTTGACAGTGCATGCGTGCATGCGTGAATCCATGCACCAGGCCAATCCAACCCCACCCACGCCAAGCCACGCCACACCTCGCCACATCACGCACATGAGGAAGCGGCGCGCAGTGGTTGCAGGTACCCCATCCGCGCCCTTTCTCCCCCGCCTGTCAAAAGCCGGCTGATCCTCCTCCCCCTGCTCCCCCCCTTGCCCCTCCCCCTCTCCGCCATCCCCCCCTTCCCCCCTATCCTCCCCATCCCCATCACCACCACCATCCCTCCTCCCTCTCTTCCTATCCCCGCCCTCCCACTCCTCCCTCCCCCGCTTCCCCCACTTTCCGCCCCTCCCCCCTCTCTTCCCCCCCCAGCGCCCCTCCCGCCACCCCCTCCCGTCCCCGCCCCTCTGCCCCCCTTCCCCCCGCCCTCCGCGCTCCCCTGCGCGCCCCCCTGCGCCCTTGAGGTTGAGGGCGGGCGGGGGGAGGAAGCGCAGGCGCACACAGCGGTAGGGGGGGCCCTGGGGGGCGTCAATGGTATCAGAGACGAGGAAGGGGAAGGCCTTGAAAAACGCGTGCATGGCCTGGTGGTAGGAGGGTGAAGGGGGGAAGGGGATGAGAGAGGGGAGAGGTTGGGGGAGGAAGCGCAGGCGCACACAGCGGTAGGGGGGGCCTTGCGGGGCGTCGATGGTATCAGATACAAGGTATGGGTATGACTTGAAGAACGCATGCATGGCCTGGTGGTGGGGAGGGGAGTAGGTGAAAGGGGGGACGGGAATAGAGTAAGAAGGGGTGGGATGAGGTTCAGAAGGGGGGTTCCGGAAAGAGAGAGTGGGGATGCGAGGGAGAGGGGGTGGGGAGGGGCGCATTGCTGCCAGGGCCGTGCATGCATGCAGCTATAAGCATGGCGTATGATAAGTCGATTTTTGAGTCGACTCAAAAATCGACTTATCACACAGGGTGCATCGCTGCCAGGGCTGTGCATGCAGCTATAAGCATGGCGCATCATGGCATGAAACTCCCCAACCCCGTCCAGCCACGTCAGCAACTCACAGCACGGTACGCCTTGTCAGCACTGGCAGCAAACACCACCGGCTCAGGCATAGGGGGAGGAGCCCCCTTCCCCGCCCCTACTCCTGCCCCCTCCCCTCCCTGCACGATGCCCTCCGCCTTTTCCCCCCTCGCACCCTCCCCTTCCTCCTCTCCTCCCTCCTCTCCCCCCTCCTTTCCTCCCTCCTCTCCTCCCTCCCCTCCCCCTTTCCTCTCTTTCCACCACAGCTGAATGCTCCTAATCCCTTCCAGCAGCTGCACCAGCTTCCTCGCATCTTCCTCATCGCGCAACTCTCCCCCTCCCCCTCCCCCTCCCCCTCCCCCTCCCCCTCCCCCTCCCCCTCCCCCTCCCCCTCCCCCTCCCCCTCCCCCTCCCCCGCCCCCCTCCGCGCCCCCCCCCAGCGCCTGGCGGAGCTGCGCCAGCACCCCCCCCGCGTGCACCAGCTCCCCCAGGCTCTCCGCCTCTTGCCTGCGCGCCTGCTGCTGCGCCTGCTGCTCCTGGGCTAGCAGCGCGGGGGGCACGTGCAGGTGCGTCAGATGCACCACTGTGCCATCCGGTGCCACTTCGTTCACTATGAAGTCAGCGAACCTGTAAAGACGGGCATGGGGAGGGGGGAAGGAAGGAGCAGCGGGGACTGGATGCGCTGCGCTGCTCCTGCGCCAGCAGCGGGGGGGGCACATGCAGGTGCCCAGCAGCTATATACCTCTCTGTCGCAGGTTCGCGGACTTCATTAGGGGCACATGCAGGTGCCCAGCTATATACCTCTCACATGCAGGTGCCCAGCTATATACCTCTCACATGCAGGTGCCCAGCTATTATACCTCTCACATGCAGGTGCCCAGCTATATACCTCGTTGACTACTAATCCTACAGCAGAGGAGCGAGAGAGAGTGCGATGGGATGGGATGGGAGGGAGCGAGGGAGCAGAGGGGGAGCATCCCGTTGACTGTAAGAGCACGAGTGGGGGCATCCGCGAAGAGCATGTGTGGGGGCACACGGTCACGTGGCCATGGGTATGTATGAGGAATTATCAAAAGCCCCCACCCCCTCACCTTTGCTTGAGCACGCCGTGAATGCCGGGCAGGTCGTTGGCATAGCAGCATGTGCCCACTGACTCTCCTGTCGCCGCCATCACCTCTCCGCCCCGCCCAGCAAACCCACGCCTCACCTCTGTCGCTATGCCCACTGCCTCCTCTGTCGCTATGCCCACTGCCTCCTCTGTCGCTATGCCCACTGCCTCCTCTGTCGCTATGCCCACTGCCTCCTCTGTCGCTATGCCCACTGCCTCCTCTGTCGCTATGCCCACTGCCTCCTCTGTCGCTATGCCCACTGCCTCCTCTGTCGCTGCTATTACCTCTCCCTCCTCTCCGCCCTTCCCACCAAACCCCCCCCCTCACCTCTGTTTGAGCACACCGTGAATGCCGGGTAGGTCGTTGGCGTAACAGCATATCCCCACTGATTCCCCTGCCACGCCATCACCTCTCCCTCCTCTCCGCGCACCCCCACCTCACCCCCTCACCTCTGTTTGAGCACGCCGTGTATGCCGGGAAGATCGTTTGCATAGCAGCATATGCCCACTGACTCCTCTGTCGCCGCCATTCGCTCCCTATCCTCTCCGCCCTCCCCGTCGTCCCCCTCCTCGTCGTCCCCCTCCCCGTCTTCCCCCTCCTCGTCGTCCCCCTCCTCTCCGCCTTCCTCCTCTCCGCTTACCTCCTCCGCAGACTTTTCCCCGCTCTCACCTACTCCTTCCTTTCCGCCCCCGTCTACCCTGAACCCTGTACCCGCTCCCTCCTTCTCTCCCCCTGCTTCCCAAAGCCTCCCCTCAACTCCCTCCCCCGCACACGCGACTGCTTCAGGCGCGCTTTCCGCTTCCGCTGCGCCTCCTGCTTCCGCGGGTGCGGAGAGGCGGATCCGCCACGAGCGGAATGCGCCCAAGGGGGCGGATGGGGAAATGCGGACTGCGCCCACGCGAGAGGCGGCGGAGGCAGGAGGGATACGGGGAAAGGGCTGCCACCCGCGGAAATTTATACGGGCGGAGGGGGAAAGGCGGGTAAGGGTATTGGGCGGGGGATTGCGGAGGGGGACGCGGAAGTGAGGGGCAATGCGCGGGGCGAATGGGTCTGCCGAAGAGCGCGCGACGGGGGTGGCGGCGATTAGTGACATAAACACCCGCGCGATGCGAAAATTTAGGTGGTTAATGGCGACAAACGACAACAGTTGCGACACTTCGTAAGTGGAATCCTGCGATCGCTCTGCTGCTGAGAAAGATGCGGTGGGTGGGCATTTGAGTTCAGCTCGGTTCGAGTTTGGGTTGGTTGGGGTGGAAATGGGGCGTTTTTCTGCACACGAAAATGTCCAATTTCGCGTTTGTGTTCTGTTAGTTTTGGTTCTAATAAGGTGTGACTGTATATAATTGGTTCTTTGCTGTTTAGGTGCTGTACATGTGGCTGTATATAATTGGCAAACAATGACTGTAGTGCTGAATGTTATCGAAAAGACTCAATGGGAGGCGCCGCTCAGAGAATCCTTTACAACCTCGATATAAGAACTCGATCAGGGGAAGTGATACAGGCGCCACATGTTCATCCTTCCCCGCTGGACCCCCACTTCCCGCCGCACGCGTGAGAATATCGTCGCCTCGCCATGAACCGCTTTCGCCACCGCGCTTATGCGCCAAGCCGTGCAGCTGAACAGGCAATCCCAAGAACCAATTCGCAACAATTGTTTGACCCTCACCGCACTAAATCTCACTGTCTCGCTTTGCACTCATCAGAGCCGTGTCCAACATCTAGAAGCCAATCCCTCTCCCTCCCTCCCTCCCCCCCAACCCACACCTTGGCCAGTCAGTTCGTGTCCGTAGGGATGACATGTCAACATTGGCAGTGTCAACCCAAAGCGCGAATTAGAGTGTCAAGAACTGAAGCTTCAGTGTCAAATCGAAGCGCAGCAAGGAACCCTGCGACGGAAGCTTATTGGTTGAGCACGAGTTTGAGTACACAGGCGACCCCTTGCACGAACTTGCAGTCGCACGAAGTTCAGCATCCGTCGATTAGGCAGGTGTGGTCGTCGGAAATCTCGATGCCATCAATGTGGTTGGTTGGTTAGTTCCTTTATTTTCGCAGAGCTGGAAGTCCGACGATTTTTACAGGCTGGCAGTTTGGTGTCGTTGACACTCTGCCAACAATGTTGGCAAGTGTCAAAATCACAAGTTGACACTCAAAAGCTTGACATGTCACCCCTACGGACACGACCTCAAGCAGCTGTTTACGGGGAAGCAGCCCGCGCGGAGCTGAGTTGGGGGGCGGAATCAACAATAGGGGCGAAATAGACATTCCACTGTTCCATCCTCCAGCCAACCGCAGCAATACTTAGCCGCTTAGTAGCGAGACCCTGTAGGAGCGTCGCAGGCAATTGTGCTGATTGGCATTCTTGACCCTGAGTGTGGTACAGTGCCATTGGTCATGGCAGCTGCTTCGTTACAATCCGCTTCGTTACCCGCGCTACTGAATCGCGTCGGCGAGCTACACGAGGAAGTGAGCGACGCGATCGAGCGCAGCCTCCAGTGCGACTTCTTCCTCTCCAGTGGCGGTGCCGCCGTCGCCGCCGCCGCCGGTGCCGCCGCCGATTGCGCTTCTGCGGGGTCTTCTCCCTCTGGCCCGCTGGTGGCTTCTCGGTATGAAGCAAACGCGTCGCTCTCCTGGCAGTTACTCAAAATCCCATTCTTGTTTCCTTGGTTTCACATGCATCGAGTTACACGCGGCACTACTATAGCCCCTAAACTCGTCGCTCTTCTCGTCCCATTCTTGTCGTTCCACTTGTCATTCTATTATTGTCCCATTCCTCTCGTCGCTTGCGGTCTCCGCCAGGTTCTGGCCATTCCTCCTGCAACAGTTTCTGCCATTGCCGCTTGACCCATCCCTCCGCACTTCTCTACTTTCTCCATCCCCTTTTTCTTATCCATGTTCTCTCTTGCTTCCTATTGTGAACTTTTTCTTCTTTACACAATGAACTCTCCCTTTTCTCCGAACAGCCTGTCGCAACAGGATTCGCCAACCAAAAACTCTAGCGGCTCTAGCGGGGACAAGTCTAACGGGGATAAGTCTAGCGGGTCTGGAAGCAACAATAGCTCCCCCTCCTCTTCCTACCAACGCGCCTATGAAAAACATGTCGAGTCTGCCCGGAAGGCCGGGCAGGACGAAAAGATTCAATCCGGGCAGGGAAGCGCCGAGGCGCGGATGCTGATTGCGCTCCGCGACGCGTTGGAGATGCTGGAGTGGCACCTGGACCAGCTGCTGCAGTGCGAGGAGACGCTTCAGGAGAAACTTCAGGTGAAACAACAGAAGACGCTGCAGCAGATAAACCATCTGCGCGCGCCGCAGCGGCAGGGGCGCAGGGCGAGCGCGGGGAAATCCGGGGCGCGGGGAGTCAACGCCGCCGCCCTCGCGGCGGCGGCGGCTGCCAGAGCGGCGGCGGCGGCGGGAGCCGCGGCGGGTTCCGCGGAGGGGGAGCGCGAGGCGGAGGCGGAGGCCGCCGCGCAGTGGGCGCAGATGGTGACGGAGTTGAAAATGGCGGCGCGGATCGTGGCGTCGCAGGGGCGGTGCCACCAGGGGCGCGAGGCGGAGGTGGTTGCGCGTATCCAGCAGCTGGCGGAAGACGTTGACGCGGAGCCCTTCCCCTTCCCTTCCGCCCATGCCGCTCCCGCCAACCAGTGTCTTCCCCAGTTCCTGCAACAGCAACAGCAGCATAAGTTATTTACTTCCTCCGCCTTCTCCCCTTTCTCCGCCGGCCCTCTCCCCGCGTTGCTCCCTGCCCACGCGCCCTCCCCCTCCTCCTCCCCCTCCTCCCTCCTCCCCCAACCCCTCACTCCCGCGCAAGGCCCCGCCGCAGCGCCCTACTCCTCGGCGCATCCCTTCTCCCCTTCCCCCTCCCCCTTCTCCGCTTCCGCGCTTTCCCCTTCCCCCTCGAAGGAAGCATCCAAGCAACTTCCACCATATTACCAGCACCCGGAAGTGGCAGTGATGGGCGGAGGGGCGGTGGCGGAGGGGGAAGACTCGGACGGGGAAAGCCCCACGAGCGGGCAGGTCGGGCAGAATGACTGGGCGGTGGGCAGGCCGCCGGTCAGGAGAAAAATATTCGGGCAAGAGTCGGAGAGCGAGGAAGAGAGTGAGGGAGAAAGTGAGGGAGAGAGTGAGGGAGAGAGTGAGGAAGAAAGCGAAGGAAAGAGTGAGGGAGAACGTGAGGGACAGAGTGGGGGAGGGGGCGATGGTCATCAGGGGAAGGAGGGCAAAGGAGAGGACGAGGGCGAGAGTGCGGGTGCAGGAGATGCTGCCAGTGACCAGAGCAAGACTGAGGCGCCTGAGAAGGATGTGGTTAATAAGCATGCTGCTGCTGCTGCTGCTGCCCTGGGGGGTGGGGAGGGAGGTGAGGGCGAGAAGCCTACCGCATTGCCTGATGCTGCTGCTGCTGCTGTTGGCACTGCTGCTGCTGGCGGTGCTGTTGCTGTTACCGCTGCTGCTGCCATTGGTGGTGGGGATGTGAGTGATGAAGCAGCAGCGACTGCTGACCTGACTGATGCTAACTCTTCTGGCGCCACTGTTGCCAGTTCTGGTGTATCCACTAACCCTCTCACCCCTGCTGCTCATGCACCTGACTCTCTTGACTCTGCTGAATTTGCTGACTCGGTAGCTGCTGGCTCTGTCGCTGCTGACTCTGCTGAATCTGCTGACTCTGCTGACTGTGTTGACTCCGTTGACTCTGTAGCTGCTGACTCTGGTGCTGCTAAGGCGGGTGACAGTGCTGCTGGAACGACAACTGACACCACCGCTGAGGCTGGTTCCGCTGAGGCTGGCTCTGCTGAGGCTGGCTCTGCTGACGCTGTTGCTGACACCACTGATGCTGCTACCCCTGCTGACACTGCTGCTGACAGCTTAGACGCTCACGCTGTTGCTGCCACTGCTGCTTCCACTAACGACGTTCCTGCAGCACCTGCTCCCATCGACCCTCCTTGTGCTGCCACTGCCCTCACCTCTCTTCCAGCCGCTGCTGCCACTGTCGCGGCTGACTCCTCTACCGCCCACACGTCCCCGGATTCCATTGCTGCACCCGCAGCACCACTGGCCGAGCCCACACACGCCTCTCCGAGCCAACTCTCCCCAGTTTCACCGCCCTCAGATGAGCCCTCCTCCGCTCACCCCGCGTCAGCTGATTCCCTTCCCCAGTCCCCACCTGACTCTCTTCCCTCTCATCCCATTCCCCCCCTTGAAGCCTCTCCGATACACTCACACCAGCCAGCGCCGGACCAGGCAGTGCCGAACCTGGCTGCCGAACCTGACTCGCAGGCCGACCAGCAGGCCGGGCACCAGGCTCGGAACCAGCCGAGCCAGAGCTGGGCTCTCCAGCCGATCAACCAGGTTCGGGCTTTAACTTGTGTGGCTACTAATGGTGCCAAAGCCATTGAGGGGGTGGTGGGGAGGATGGCTCGCCTCTCCTCCATCCTCCTCCACCCCGTGACTCTCAGCCTGGGAGGACTTGTCGGTGTCTCCCTTGGGATTGCCGCTGCCACGTCAGCAAGGAGGGGGGGAGGGGGAAGGCACTGGGGGGTGGTGAGGAGAGGGGTGTTGGGAGCGCTACCGAGACCGGGCGCTGAGACTGCTGTTGCGTGGAGGGAGGAGGAGAGGGAGCGGGAGAAGGAGAGCGAGAGAAAGAGGGAGGAGGAGAAGGCGAGGGAGGTTGAGGCGTGGGGTTTGGACGAGAGGCTGTGGGCAGCGGAAGGGGATTGGGGAGAGGACGATGGGTCGTTTGGTGTGAGAGATTGGGGGGAGGAGGATGGGTATGGGAGTGTTGGGGAGGCGGACGAAGAAGAAGGATCGGAAGAGGAAGAGGAAGGGACGGAGGAGGAGGGTGGTGTGTGGGGCGTGAGTGGTGGTTCAGGGGAGGGTGAAGGGAAGAGCGAGGGGGAAGAGGTGCAGGAGCGAAGCGGGGGTCTCTTGGCGTTCTTGCAAAGGGAAGCAAGGCGACTCAAAGGGGAGTCGGATGCGGCAGGTGTGGTGGGAAGAGGCGGAAGCGAGGAGAAGGACAGGACAGGTGGGGCAGCGTGGGGGGCAGGGCAGGCGGGGGCGTATGCTGCTGCAGTGCTGGAACGGTTAAGGGAGGAGGTGCGCGTGAGGGAAGAGGCGCTGGCGAGAGTGAAGGCGAGGGGAGAGGAGCTTGAACGAGTGAGGATGAGAGAGCTGCAGCTGCTGCAGGGGAAACGGGGCGAAGTGGGGGCGGCGGATGCAGGGGAGGGAGGGGAGGCAGGAGGGGAGGAGATAGGGGAGGAGGGAGGGGAGAAGGCAGGGGAGGAGACAGGGGAGGGGAAAGGGGAGGGGAAGGAGGAGGGGAAAGGGGAGGGGAAAGCAGTGGGGGCAGCAGGGGGGGTTTGGAGGGGGGTTTGGGGTTTGGGGGGTTTAGATGATCCCCTGCTGGCTGCTGTTCTCAGAGACCTCTCTGTGCAACCGGTTGACTCTGGCAATGCTGCTGCTGGTGCTGGTGCTGGTGCTGGTGCTGGTGCTGGTGCTGGTGGTGGTGGTGATGATGATGTGGGCATCACTCCGCTGCCGCGGTTGAACATCAGCAAGCCGCAGGGCGAGTGGGACCACCAGCAACAGCAGCAGGACCAGCAGCAGCAGCAGGACCAGCAGCAGCAGCAGGACCAGCAGCAGCGGCGGAAGCAGCTTCATGGCGGCTTTGAGCAAGAGTGGGATGGGATGAGCACTCTTAGCAAGCCGGGCTCTGATGCATGTGCTGCTGGTGCTGCTGCTGGTGCTGCTGGTGGTGTTGCTGCTGGTGGTGGTGAGTTCAGGGATTGTGGAAGCTTCTTGGAAGCAGCACAGGGCTGGTTGGAGAAGGTCCAAGAAGGGAAATCTCAGATTGACAGTCAGATGCTGAAAGCGGGTGACACACTGCAGAAGGCAGGTGCGGCATTACTTGACGCGCCTCGGAACACCATCCATGCTGCAGGCCAGGCGCTCCCGAACGTGATTCCGAGCCTGCTGCCGTGCGTCGCTCGCAAGTACGAGAGGCTGAAGCGGCGCGGATGGGTGGGGGTGCTGCGAGGAGGGGGTAACGGCAGCGAGGGCAGCAATGGGGAGCAGGGCGGGTGCAAGGATGAAAGGGATGAAAAGGAATATGGAGCACAGCAGGCACGACATGGGGTGAATGGGACACCTGGTGTGGTGATGGTCCCAGGTGTTGCAGCAGGGGGGTCAGGGCATGGAGGAGGGGATGGGTTCTGGATGGATCTGAAGGAGAAGGCTCGGCAGTTGAGCATCGGACGGAAGAGGGGGAGGGAGTGAGCGAGTGAGACACCTGGTGTGGTGGTGTGATGGTCCCGGGTGTTCCAGTAGTGGGGTCAGGGCATGGAGGAGGGGATGGGTTTTGGACAGACCTTGCAAAGAAGGCTCGGCAAGTGAGCATCGGACAGAAGAGAGGGAGGGAGTGAAGGGTGTTGATGCTTGTCCCTGTTAACCTTCATCAGGACCCTTTTTCCTGTCTATGAGCGTGTGGCTGCTTGCAGATTTTCATGTGTGTGTGTTTTTTTTTTTTTTTTTTTTTTGTCCTCCTCTTGTTCTCTAGTGTGCATGTGTTTCCTACTGTGACCCCCCTTCCACCCCCAACACTCCCCTTCCCCATCCTTCCCCCCTGGTGGGCTGAGAAAGAGTCTTAGGATCTTCTAGTTACCTCAATAACCCCAATTCTCTGCATATGGGTTTGCCAGTTTTCTAACTTTGTGGTGTGGATTGGAGCATTTTGCCGAGTGAATGCATATTTGAACATCACAGGTGCTCAGATTTTTGTTCGTACGGTGATTGGCATGGTAAATTACCTGTAACTTTGTTCTTTTAGTCGTTCCAGTGGAGTGAAAACTCATCTGTTGTAGAAAATCAATGGCTTCAACATGCGACAAAAATAACCACGTACTATTCTGAAACACTGAGCCTTACAAATTGTTCTCTTCCAGTGCCACTCCTTATAAAGGTTGTGTGTATTCCACTTGAATGCAAGCATCAGGTTGGAGTGTACCAGTAGCCTTTGAGGTGTTATACCAACTATTGTAAGATTTGCTTACTAGATCGAAGGATTTGGGACCGAATTTCGGATGCAATACCGCACAAGACAAGGCACGACAGTGCAGAATCGCCTTCAACCGTCCCTTGGTCCTTCAATCGCGGATTTTGTTCGTGATGAAAACGAACTCCTCAAATTCACGTGCACAAGCACATGCGTTTTGAAACGGCTCACCTACACTTAGGGCGAGGTCAGGTTATACATTTCTTGCGGGCTTGCCGTTCTTCTAACGTGGTTCAGGACGGTCTAACACGGTGGGCCGCGGTTCTGGACTTTTACCACTCTGCACCGTGTTGAAACGAAGTTACCCGCAGTGGGCATACAAAATGTTGTACAACCTGACGTCGCCCTTCTGGAACGAGGAGACCAGTTTCGCAAAGGGTCGCCATCCGACTGCAGTACCGTCGCGAAAAGTCTGCCGCTTCGCAAGCTCTCGTTTCATTACTTTCTGTTCCGTACAGCGGACTAGAAAACGAGTGAGCGTTTTCTTGCGGTTTCACCGTAGTACACGGGTTCGAAGAAAGTCGGTCAGGCCGCGTACAACCTCACCTCGGTATCCCCTGCTGCGCAACTCACAACAACGCGCTTTTGTTTACTGTATGCTTAAAAATCGCGTTTTTCACTCAGAAGGATAAAAGAAAAGGCTCATTCGGTCTGGGAGTGTGCAGGGGGGGGAGGAAGTGAGCTTCCATTCTGATGTTTTGGAATTTGTGGTGGCGGCGCGGTACTTCAAATAGAAACTGGGTGTGGTACTGTACACGTACAGTGTCTTCCCCTTGGGACCCACTCCAGCACCTTGATTACACAAGTGTTGCCTTGGCTCTCTTCACTTACTTCTGGCGTAGCTTCCTTCTAGATCCCCCATTACGCGCTCATGGTTTCCAGCTCACTTGCTTGGCCTCCAATCTTCCAGCTCGGTTATCCAGCTCGATCCAGCTCGCTGCATCATAACTCGCACGGGGCGATTTGTTGACCGTTGCCAGCGCACTTAGGAACTAGATCCGAATCTCCTTCTTCCGGAGCAGCATACAGCTATCCGCATCGTCGGGATGTCAGACTGTAGTGTACCTGTAATGCGATTTGCGACGAACAGACTGGATGCGACGAGATTCGGTGGGAGAGTGGGTTCCACGACATCATATGATCGTACGCTGTGTGTGGCTCGCACCACGCGATGGCGGTTGATTGCCGTCAAAAACGGTCACTGTACGGAGGGGATAATGTCACATCACAGCTCGATGGCACTTGCTCTGCCTGTGTGAGCCATCCATGGCCGGATGGCCGGACGTAGTACCGTACTACACGATGGCCGGATGGCGCCGCGATGACAGCAACGCGCTGTGTTTCGACGCAGTCGTGCTGTCCGCTCGTCGTTTCGATTTGATTCGGGCCAGGACTCTCACTTTCCCTGCAGACGCCTTTCCCGCGCTCTTGCTCACTCTAGGGCTCCCCTCTTAGGGCTCCCCTCTCACTTCTCTCTCCGCGCCGCGCTCATGGCGGCGCGAGTGGGTGGGTCTTTCGCACGATCGTTCCGAATCAGATCAGTCGAGCTCTAGGAGTAACGCTCCTCTGATTACTATTTCTCAAGAGGAGGTTTTCTTTCTTCGCCACCAGATCCACATTTCCAAGGGCCTCCGTCGTCAACGAATCCTCCTCCAATCCTCCTCCAATCCTCTCCAATCCCCAACTATCTCCCCCGTTCCAGAAGCTACTTGTCTGAATCGATAGTTCGCAATCACTCACGTCTGCTGACTTTTTCGAGTCTTGGCAACTCTTGTCGCGCCACCTTACATCCTCGCCCCGCCCCGCGGCCTTGCCATTCCGACGCCATCCAATACTACTCGTCACAACCCATCATCCGCGGCCCGCCGGACACTGTTGAGTCTCTAGACGTCTCAAACACCTGGCTATTAACGCCACCATCCAGGGAACTTCGAGTCTTCCCAAACCTTTCCGAAGGAATTGGAACAACCATCAGGCTCCTCAAAACCAGACGACAGGCTACCACAAAGCTACTATCACCACTGATACCACGTGACGTGTCTGGCCCAACATCTCTAGATCGCCGCGCGCTCCACCCCTCTGCTATAGCAGAGTCAATGGCGAGTCACAGCACTTCTACTACCCTGCCACTGCCGACCAACAGCAGCGCAACAATCACTGCGCCAGACGGAGCAACATCTGAGTCTCTCGCCGTGGCTCTTTTCGCGTTGGACGACCTCCCCTCGCCGCTCGCTTCGCTACACGCCACGCCGCTCGCTTCGCTGCACGCCGCGCTCCCGCCGCCGCCCGCTGCGCCGGCTTCTCGGAGTCCTCTCCCCGACTCGGCTGCTTCGGCGGGGGAGCATAGAGGCCGCTTCGGCTGGTCCCCAGTTTGCCCTCGCGGCTTCACAGAGGAGGGGTTCGTCCTGCACGCCGAACCTCGCTCTGAGCCGCTGAACGAGCCTCTTGCCGAGCCTCAAATGACCGCTGTGGGCGGAGCGGAGCCGGCTGGTGAAACGGCCGCGCCGGTGGGTCTGGGAGGGCTGGGAATGCTGACAGGCCTGTCAGGGTTTGCTGCTGATTCTGCTGCTCCTGCTGCTGTTGTGATGCAAGGAGCGGCGGGCGGAGAGGTGCAGATAGAGCGCATGTTGGTTGGCCTGTCGACGCTCGCATGCTCTCTGCGACAGCAGGAAGCAGAGAAGCAGGCAGCGCTGCAGCACTGGGACGGTGGGAACGCCGTGGGCAGTAGCAGCAGCAGCAGCATGCCGAATGATGGAAGCTACTATGGGAACCACGAGAACAACCAGGAGAACAACCAGGAGAACGACCAGGAGCACCTCACACGCCAACTGCTACTAATGACTCATGCCGCGGCTGCCGTTCCTGTCGGCAACGACTCGCCCACAGCCACGGCGCCAGCAGCACGCACCCCGCCGCTTCAAGTCGCTGCAGCACCACCAGCAGCAGAGGCGAGAAGGCAGGAGGTGCCTTTTCAGTCGATCCAGAAAGCAGCAGTAGCAGCGGCGGCTGCAGCGGCAGAGGCAAGGAGGGAGGAGGCGAGGAGGGAGGATGCGAGGAAACAGCAGGCGGTGCTGTCCAGTCGTGTGATGGCGACGCTGCAGATGGGAGCAGGCAGCGAGGACGAGAGGCGGAAGCTGTTGGCCCTCCTGCTGGCGCTGAAGCAGGTGGAGGAGCAACAGGCGCAGGAGGCGCAGCAGCAGACGCAGCAGAAGGCGAGGCAGAATGCGCGGAAGCGACAGCGGCGGCAGAGGGCGATGGGGGGTCAGGGGTTGTTGGGAAACCCTCAGTCGCCGCAAGTTCTGCTGCTGCAGCAGCAGGAGCAGCGAGAGCAAGAACAGCAGCACCAGGAGCAGGAGGAAGATCAGGACAAGCAGCTCGGTGGGAAGAAAAGGAGAAGCCCCGAGGCCCCCGCTACCTGCGCTACAGCCGCTCGCCAGTGGCCGCACGGCAGGCAAATCCCCGGCAGCGGCTGCTACAGCCGGAGCGCGCTCGGGCAGGCAAGCCAGAGTGGTGTACCGGTGGGAGCAGCACAAGTGGCGCCAGTGGGGGCGGCGAGGTTGGCGCCTGTGGGGGCAGCAGGAGGAGCGTACCTCCCGTGGTCTCGTCTGCAGGCGAGCATTGCGGAAGAGGCAAGCCAGCACATGCACCCCATGTACCAGCAGCAGCTGCTGCAGCAGCAACAACAGTTGCAGAAGCAGGGGTTTGAGCAAGTGTCGCAGCACCCGCTGTTACCGGAGGCCGTTAATCAGCGCTCTCGAGGCAGTGGAGGCTCGGTGGGAACATTCTCGGGCGGTGAAGGCTCGGCGCGCTCAGGCTCGGCAGGCACAGGCATGGGCGGTGCAGGCTCAGCAGGCGGCCCAGCAACCAGCAGCAGCGGACAAGTGGGTGGGGAAGAAGGCACAGAGGGCATACGAGGCATGCAAGGCATGCAAGGCATGCAATGCATGCAAGGCATGGAAGGCATGGAAGGAATGGAAGGAATGGAAGAAATGGATGGCATGGGTCAGTGGCAATCTGATGAAGACTTTGGGGAAGGGGCGCCTGCGAGACGAATGGGGCAACAGGCTGAGTGGGGCACAGGCACAGATGCACGAGGGCGTGGTACCATGCAAGACGAATGTGGCACGGACGACGAATGGTTGCCTCGGTGCCAAGGCGTCAGGACAGGTTCGGCGCCGAACCAGAGGATTAAGAACCGGAGCATGGCGGAGCGGCGGAGGAGGGAGAGGATTAGTGAGGGGCTGCAGAGGCTGAGGGTGAAGGTGAGGGGGCGAGGGGACACGTGTGCGATGCTGGACAGAGCCGTGGGGTATGTAGATGCGTTAGAGCGAAGAGTGATGGAGTTAGAGCGAGTCGTCATGGCAGCTGCTGGCTCTGGGAGGAACTTTTTCCCCGGCAATGCGTTTGCCGGTGGTGCTTTTCCCCGTCGTGGTTTTGCCGGTAACGCTTTTGTAAACAATGCTGCGGCGCTGGCGTCGATACCGGCTGCGTTAACATCGGTCCCGACTGGCCTAGGGGGTGAGCCATGGCTGGATACAGCTTTGGTCTAAGCTGGTGGAGATTCAACACATTGATCATATGGGCATTTTGGAACCCAGGATTTTTTAAATCAGATTCTTCTGATCTTTCAATTGCTTTGTGAACCGGATATGTTGTACTACATTCTTAAAAAATGAATGCGCTGACTGTCTAAGAGTCTTCATGCCTCATATCTTATAACCCAGCATCGTTGCTAGACTTGGACTAACGCATGATGGCCATTACAGCGCACAGACGTTTCTCCTTGGTCGCTGAACCTGAGAAAAATGGAGGAAAAAACAATGAGATAAAGAAGAAACAGCAGAAACAATGGATAGTGAGGAGAATTCAAACAGGTGAAAAGGATATGAAAATCTCGTTCATGTGTAGGCTGCTTGTGGCAGGAATTACCTAATCGCACAACCTTGCGACTTGAAACGAATTACGGTTGCCAAATGGGAGCGTTGACGCGGTCAAACAGTTCGTGCAATCGCCCCCAACTGTGCTTGCTGGTTCTGGTTCAATGCGGTCGAAAAAACTCGTCATAATCACGTGCGAAAACACATGCGGTTTGGACTGTACTGTAACTTCCCAGCAGCACTTCGAAACGCGGACACCAGTTTCGGCAAAGATCGCCATTCCAGGCGAGAACACTGCCAGCCGTCGCGAGCCGTACCCCTTTTTATTTCTGGGCGTGGGGAGTTGGTGCGATCAGGCTTGGTTAGAGGATTTGCCCCCCACAAAGCCCTTGATTTTTTTGTTTTCCGTTTTCTGTTTTCAGTTGGCCTCGCATCAGAGGGTGATTGTATAAGCTACTGCACATCGTCGGAAGACGCCAGAAAAAGTGAGAACACTTGCGTCCCGGAGAAAAAGGTTAAAACTCGGTCGCGGTGATTCCTGCTTTGAAAATCACTGGGATTGGACCCGAACCGGCTTTTAAACTTTGAGAATGCCGAGAAACCACATCCAATATTGAGGCCTGTGAACGCCAAACCATGACCCCCAGGTTTTCGGGCAATAAGGTGGTCTGGGCTGGAATGCAATCTCCTTCTGGAAGCTTCGGATGCTTCTCCATCTGCGGATTAGCCTGGGCTCGCAGCTTTCTTCAGTAGTTTCCCAGTCCATCCCCCAGAACAGCTGGCGCTTCCGTGTTTCAGTGCCCACCTCCACCTCAGTTGTTTTCAATTTCCAGCTCTGTGAGGCTTTCGGCCCAAGCCTCCAGCAAGGGCCGCCATCATCCAATCCAGCGCGCTCCATCATGAATTGTCGCGTGCGGAGCAGTTGACCGTTGCCAGCGCACTAGATTTGCAATCCGATGTGGTACAAGATGCAGCGGATCGCATTCTGCGGAGCTAGGCGTTGCTCTCGTGGAATTGTGGTGCCATGACATCGTGTAGTAGTTGGCTGTGTGCCCCCCACGCAATGGCGGCGTCAAGAACGCGCGGCGCGGCGAGATTTTCTTGTCGAAAGTTACTGGCGCTCGCGGTCACGTGGGACGGGACTCCCGTCCCCGGCCCAGGGCAGGATTAAGCATGATGAGTCGATGGCGCCGCGATCTAAACAAATCGCGTTAAATAGTGTCTGCTGCGAGTCGTTAGTTTCGATAAGATTCGTCCTAAATATTCTCGCAAGCGCCTCGCCCACCCACCCACTCGTCTCACTCTCTCACGTGTCCCAAGATTGGCTAGCCGTTTCGCGAATCGGGGCCGAATTGAATCGCGATCAAAGATCGCGACTACAAGCAATCAAGCGTTTCAAATCTTTCGAAAAATAGTAGTATTTCCCAAGGGAGTTTGGTATTTATCACGAGAGTTGTCCTCCGTCTTTCATTCTTCAATCAAGGAATCTCCAATTCCCGAACTGTCGCCACGCTCTAACGATATCATATCACTTTTGTAGATGACCTACTACTACTATTAGCGCTCGACGCCGCGCCGCCTCCATCTTGAACTGTCGCCAGGCTCTAAGAACAGGTATTGAAGTTCTGCTACTACTAGCGCTCGTCGCCGCGCGGCGCGCCGCCTCCATCGTACTAAGACACCACCACCATCGCCTACCAGCCCAGCAAGACCGAGCCGCTCCCAGAGCTGTCTTTTCAATTCTCCGAGAATCCGAGTCCAAAGCACCTGGCCAACAATACCGGAGCTGCTGCTGTGACGTTGCTACCCACGTCGCTCTACTCCTCCTGCTACAAAGCACCTGATACAAGTACCTGCTTCAACGTACCTACGCGTCAACCCGAGCTAAGCAACAGGTTTGTCAGCCTGGTCTGGTCTGGTCCCACGAGGCCGAAACGCTGCACTGCTCTGCTCTTCTCAGCTCTGCTCTACTCATGGCAGACGATAGCACTGCGCTGGTTAACAGCAGCAGCGGCGCCGGCGCTACCACCACCACTACCAGAGGGACATCTCTCGGAGGGACATCTCTCGGAGGGACATCTCTCGGAGGGACATCTCTCGGAGGGACATCTCTTGGAGCGACAGCCCCCGGAAGGACAGCGTCGGACTCTCTCGCCGCACTCTTCGCGTTGGACGACCTCCCTTCGCCGCTCGCACCGCCGCCACCACCGCCGCCGTTGCCGCACCCCACGCGCCTCCCCCGGCCGGCCGCGCAGCGTTCAACTCCAGAGCATCACCTCGGAGGGCCGCCTTCGTGGCCGCTGTTCGGCTGTGGCCCGCGCTTTCACAAGAGAGCTGCGCACATCATGGAGCCTTCTGACCAATTGCTGGTGCAGCCTTTGAAGACCCCGCGGCAGTTTGAGCCTTTGGTTGAGCCGCTGGTGGAACCGCTGATGACTTGTGTGGGTGGGCCGGAGGGAGGAGCGTTGGGGATGCGTCCTGGGGTGAGTGGAGGGGAGGTGGCTGGTGAAGGGGACGCGGAGGAAGCGTTGGGGGACTTGAATAAGAATGCTGGGGTTGCTTCTGCTGCTGCTGCAAAGCTAGCGGTGAGCGGGGAGAAGCAGATACAGCGCATGTTGGCTGGCCTGTCGTGCCTTGCACGCTCCCTGGGACTGGAGGAAGCACAGCAGCAGGACGCAGAGCAGCAGGAGATGCAGCAGCAGGAAGCAGAGGCAAAGGCACAGGCAGAGGCGGAGGCAGGGGAAGCGGTGCTGTCGAGCCGTGTGACGGCGAGGCTGCAGATGGGAGCAGGCAGCGAGGACGAGCGCCGGGAGCTGTTGGCCCTCCTGCTGGCGCTGAAGCAGGTGGAGGAGCAACAGGCGCAGCAGGAGCAGCAGCTGTTGCAGCACCCCGGGCTGAGCCCGAAGCAGAAGCAGAACAAACGGCAGAAGGGGCAGCAAGGACAGAGGGCGGTGAGTGAAGAGCGGCCAGGGGTTCTCCAAGCGCCACAATTGCAACAGCAGCAGCAGCAGGAGCAGGAGCAGCAGCAGCAGATGGAAGGAGGGGAAGAGGAGCCCTGGCTGTCAGCAGATGGAACATCGGCGAAGCAAGTGGAGACCGCTCTTGCTTCCACGTTTGCCCCCAGATACAGTCCAGATGGCGCTCTGCGATTGGCTCGTGGTGGAAGAGGGCGGCGCGGGGAGAGGAGCGGCAGTTGTGGTGGCAGCGGCGGTGGCAGCGGCGGCACACACTTCATCAGCGGCAGCAGCGGCCTTTTCAGCAGTACCGGCACTAAGTCAGCGAGCGACGCGGGAAAGAAGAGGAAAAGCCCAGAGCGCTGCGCTACAGCCGCTCACACGTGGCAGCACGGCACGCAGGCCCCCACTGACTGCGCTACAGCCGCTCACACGTGGCAGCAGCATGCCAGGCAGACCCCCCGTGCGTGCTACAGCCGGAGCGTGCTTGGCTCGGCCAGTGCCTCGTTCGAGCAGCGGAGCCCAGGCATGGGCAGCGGAGCAGCAGGCATGGGGGCGTCGATCCTGGCCTCTGGCATGGGTGCGATGGCGCCGGACGTGCCGGACTTGCAGTACAAGCGGAGTGATGTGCTGCAAGCCATGTGCACCAGGGAGGCAGGTGCAGTGGGCGCAGGTGCAGTGGGCGCAGGAGCAGTGGGCGCAGGTGCAGTGGGCGCAGGAGCAGTGGGCGCAGGTGCAGTGGGCGCAGGAGCAGTGGGCGCAGGTGCAGTGGGCGCAGGTGCAGTGGGCGCAGGTGCAGTGGGCGCAGGTGCAGTGGGCGCAGGTGCAGTGGGCTCGGCAGGCACAGGTTCGGGAGGCACAGGTGCGGGCGGTGCAGTGGCTGGGCAAGTGGGCGGGTCGGACGGCACAGGCGGCATGGGCGGTATCATGGACGGCAGGGTTCAGTGGCCTTATAACAATGGCTTTGGTCTAGACGCGTGTTTCCAGCCGCGTGTTGTGTGCACCACAGATGCTGAGGAGAATCAGTGCAGGGGGGGCGCAGAGGAGTGGTGTGCACGAGAAGAGCGTGGGGAGGGGAGACACGAGAGTGAGGCCGGCGGCCTCGAACACGATGTGCACGACGAGTGTGGTACGGAGGATGAGTGGTTGCCTCGGAGCCAAGGCATCCGGAGTGGTTCGGCGCCGGACCAGAGGATCAAGAGACGCAGCATGGCGGAGCGGCGGAGGAGAGAGAGGATTAGTGAGGGGCTGCAGAGGCTGAGGGTGAAGGTGCGAGGGCGAGGGGACACATGCGCCATGCTGGATAGAGCAGTGGGGTATGTAGATGCTCTGGAGCGACGTGTGATGGAGTTAGAGCGGGTCATTATGACGGCTGCTTGCTCCAGGAGGAACATTTTCCCTGGCAATTCGTTTGCCGGTGGTGCTTTTGCTGGTCGGGGTTTTGCCGGTAGCGTTTTCGTCAATAATGCCGCAGAGTTGGCGACGATACCGGCTGCTTTGGCGTCGGTTCCGACTGGCCTTGGGAATGAGCCGTGGCTGGACAGAGGGGCTCTGGTCTAGGCTGGTGAAATTCAACACATCAATCATATCGGCGTGGTGGAAACCATGGAATGTTTTTTGTCAGATTCTTCTGATTCTTCAACTGCTTTTTTGGACTGGGTGTCTCTAGGTACACTATCATTGTTAATTTTTGGATATGCTGTCTAGGTTTCTTTATGTAGGTGTACGACCACAGCTACAAGGCATAAGTACCGTATGTTTGCACCAGTTGTGAGTTTTAGGTCCTCTGCTTGTCTAGAGACACTGTTCAGGACCACCTGTTCTTTGAAACCAACTCTGATGAAACAGGCCTCTAAGCCACCCACAGGCCATGGTGTAAAATAATTTGTATTGGTATTTCAATGTAAAACTGCTCATTTCACTGTTCGAATGGCTCTACAACGGTGCATCGGTGCAGCCAGGAATCGGTGGGTGGCCCGTAAACAGTGAATTCCGCAGAAATCGCCACCTGCTATGAGATTTTCTCACCTCTCATGATTTTCGCACATGATGGTGTGGAGACTTTTCGCCAGGCAATAAGAAATGGTAACTCGATTCCAACATATCCAAGACTCGTCGCTGCTGTCACACCTTTACACATGCGCACATGCATACATTTTGAAGCGCCTAGCAGCACTCGCCATGACCCAGAACAAGAGACCAATCCACCAACGAAGGACGACTCGCATCGCAGCACTGTCGCGAGAAGGTTGGCGCTTCGCTAGCTTTCGTGAACTGTAGCCTCCTTCCCTGCACCTGCACAAGAGTGGGTGTTACTACACGGAGCAAATGAACAGAGTCGTTCCCACACCTCGTGAATTCTCAAGGGCCGATGACCAATGATGCTCGCAACACTTCCACGCCCTTGCGGGCTTGGCAAGAGGCCTAGACAAGTGCAGCCACGTGACCTGGTGGAAGAAAAACGCTCACTGCGAGTGCTTCTAGCCTCAAAACGCGCTAGGATCCGCACATGTGGAGGAAGCGCAGCGGGCGCTCTTCATTCTCAAGGGCCGATGACCAATGATGCTCGCAACCCTTCCACGCCCTTGCTGGCTTGGCAAGAGGCCTAGACAAGCGCAGCCACGTGACCTGGTAGAACAAAAACGCTCACTGCGAGTGCTTCTAGCCTCAAAACGCGCTAGGATCCCCACATGTGGAGGAAGTGCAGCGGGCGCTCTTCATTCTCAAGGGCCGATCACCAATGATGCTCGCAACCCTTCCACGCCCTTGTTGGCTTGGCAAGAGGCCTAGACAAGCACAGCCACATGACCTGGTAGAAGAAAAACGCTCAGTGCGAGCGCTTCTAGCCTCAAAACGCGCTAGAATCCGCACATGTGCAGGAAGTGCAACGAGTGCTCTTCATTCTCAAGGGTCGATGACCAATGATGCTCGCAACCCTTCCACGCCCTTGCTGGCTTGGCAAGAGGCCTAGACAAGCGCAGCCACGTGACTTGGTAGAAGAAAAAACGCTCACTGCGAGCGCTTCTAGCCTCAAAACGCGCTAGGATCTGCACATGTGGAGGAAGTGCAGCGGGCGCTCTTCATTTTCAAGGGCCGATGACCAATGATGCTCGCAACCCTTCCACGCCTTTGCTGGCTTGGCAAGAGGCCTAGACAAGCGCAGCCACGTGACTTGATGGAAGAAAAACGCTCACTGCGTGCGCTTCTAGCCTCAAAACGCGCTAGGATCTGCACATGTGGAGGAAGTGCAGCGGGCGCTCTTCATTCTCAAGGGCCGATGACCAATGATGCTAGCAACCCTTCCACGCCCTTGCTGGCTTGGCAAGAGGCCTAGACAAGCGCAGCCACGTGACCTGGTAGAAGAAAAACGCTCACTGCGAGCGCCTCTAGCCTCAAAACGCGCTAGGATTTGCACATGTGGAGGAAGTGCAGCGGGCGTTCTTCATTCTCAAGGGCCGATGACAAATGATGCTCGCAACCCTTCCACGCCCTTGCTGGCTCAGAACGAGCGCTTCTAGCGACAAAACGCGCTAGGATCCGCACATGTGGAGGAAGTGCAGCGGGCGCTCTTCATTCTCAAGGGCCGATGACCAATGATGCTCGCAACCCTTCCACGCCCTTGCTGGCTTGGCAAGAGGCCTAGACATGCGTGGCGACGTGATCTGGTAGAAGAAAAACCCTCAGAACGAGCGTTTCTAGCCTCAAAACGCGCTAGGATCCTCACATGTGGAGGAAGTGCAGCGGGCGCTCTTCATTCTCAAGGGCCGATGACCAATGATGCTCGCAACCTTTCCACGCCCTTGCTGGCTTGGCAAGAGGCCTAGACAAGCGCAGCCACGTGACCTGGTAGAAGAAAAACGCTCAAAACGAGCGCCTCTAGCCTCAAAACGCGCTAGGATCCGCACATGTGGAGGAAGTGCAGCGGGCGCTCTTCATTCTTAAGGGCCGATGACCAATGATGCTCGCAACCCTTCCACGCCCTTGCTGGCTTGGCAAGAGGCCTAGACAAGCGCAGCCACGTGACTTGGTAAAAGAAAAACCCTCAGAACGAGCGTTTCTAGACACTAAACGCGCTAGGATCCGCACATGTGGAGGAAGTGCTGCGGGCGCTCTTCATTCTTAAGGGCCGATGACCAATGATGCTCGCAACCCTTCCACGCCCTTACTGTCCTGGCAAGAGGCCTAGACAAGCGCAGGCACGTGACTTGGTAGAAGAAAAAGGCTCAGAACGAGCGCTTCTAGCCACAAAACGCGCTAGAAGTGCAGCGGAGGAAGTGCGGCGGGCGCTCTTCATTCTCAAGGGTCGATGACCAATGATGCTCGCAACCGTTCCACGCCCTTGCTGGCTTGGCAACAAGCCAAGACAAGCGCAGCCACATGACCTGGTAGAAGAAAAACGCTCACTGCGAGCGCTTCTAGCCTCAAAACGCGCTAGGATCCGCACATGTGGAGGAAGTGCAGCGGGCGCTCTTCATTCTCAAGGGCCGATGACCAATGATGCTCGCAACCCTTCCACGCCCTTGCTGGCTTGGCAAGAGGCCTAGAAAAGCGCAGCCACGTAACCTGGTAGAAGAAAAACGCTCACTGCGAGCGCTTCTAGCCTCAAAACGCGCTAGGATCCACACATGTGGAGAAAGTGCAGCGGGCGCTCTTCATTCTCAAGGGCCAATGACCAATGATGCTCGCAACCCTTCCACGCCCTTGCTGGCTTGGCAAGAGGCCTAGACAAGCGCAGCCACGTGACCTGGTAGAAGAAAAACGCTCACTGTGAGCGCTTCTAGCCTCAAAACGCGCTAGGATCCACACATGTGGAGGAAGTGCAGCGGGCGCTCTTCATTCTCAAGGGCCAATGACCAATGATGCTCGCAACCCTTCCACGCCCTTGCTGGCTTGGCAAGAGGCCTAGACAAGCGCAGCCACGTGACCTGGTAGAAGAAAAACGCCCAGAACGAGCGCTTCTAGCCTCAAAACGTGCTAGGATCCGCACATGTGGAGGAAGTGCAGCGGACGCTCTTCATTCTCAAGGGCCGATAACCAATGATGCTCGCAACCCTTCCACGCCCTTACTGTCTTGGCAAGAGGCCTAGACAAGCGCAGCCACGTGACCTGGTAGAGGAAAAATGCTCAAAACGAACTCTTCTAGCCTCAAAACGCGCTAGGATCCGCACATGTGGAGGAAGTGCAGCGGGCGCTCTTCTTTCTCAAGGGCCGATGACCAATGATGCTTGCAACCCTTCCACGCCCCTGCTGGCTTGGCAAGAGGCCTAGACAAGCACAGCCACGTGACTTGGTAGAAGAAAAACGCTCAGAACGAGCGCTTCTAGCCTCAAAACGCGCTAAGATCCGCACATGTGGAGGAAGTGCAGCGGGCGCTCTTCATTCTCAAGGGTCGATGACCAATGATGCTCGAAACCCTTCCACGCCCTTGCTGGCTTAGCAAGAGGCCTAGACAAGCGCAGCCACGTGACTTGGTGGAAGAAAAACGCTCACTGCGAGCGCTTCTAACCTCAAAACGCGCTAGGATCTGCACATGTGGAGGAAGTGCAGCGGGCGCTCTTCATTGTCAAGGGCCGATGACCAATGATGCTCGCAACCCTTCTACGCCCTTGCTGGCTTGGCAAGAGTTCAGACAAACGCAGCCACGTGACCTAGTAGAAGAAAAACGCTCACTGCGGGCGCTTCTAGCCTCAAAACGCGCAAGGATCCGCACAAGTGGAGGAAGTGCAGCGGGCGCTCTTCATTCTAAAGGGCCGATGACCAATGATGCTCGCAACCCTTCCACGCCCTTGTTGGCTTGGCAAGAGGCCTAGACAAGCGCAGCCACATGACCTGGTAGAAGAAAAACGCTCAGTGCGAGCGCTTCTAGCCTCAAAACGCGCTAGAATCCGCACATGTGGAGGAAGTGCAACGAGTGCTCTTCATTCTCAAGGGTCGATGACCAATGATGCTCGCAACCCTTCCACGCCCTTGCTGGCTTGGCAAGAGGCCTAGACAAGCGCAGCCACGTGACTTGGTGGAAACAAAACGCTCACTGCGAGCGCTTATAGCGTCAAACACGCGCTAGGATCTGCACATGTGGAGGAAGTGCAGCGGGCGCTCTTCATTTTCAAGGGCCGATGACCAATGATGCTCGCAACCCTTCCACGCCCTTGCTGGCTTGGAAAGAGGCCTAGACAAGCGCAGCCACGTGACTTGGTGGAAGAAAAACGCTCACTGCGAGACCTAGCCTCAAAACGCGCTAGGATCTGCACATGTGGAGGAAGTGCAGCGGGCGCTCTTCATTCTTAAGGGCCGATGACCAATGATGCTCGCAACCCTTCCACGCCCTTGCTGGCTTGGCAAGAGGCCTAGACAAGCGCAACCACGTGACCTGGTAGAAGAAAAACGCTTACTGCGAGCGCTTCTAGCCTCAAAACGTGCTAGGATCCGCACATGTGGAGGAAATGCAGCGGGCGCTCTTCATTCTCAAGGGCCGATGACCAATGATGCTCGCAACCCTTCCACGCCCTTGCTGGCTTGGCAAGAGGCCTAGACAAGCACAGCCACGTGACCTGGTAGAA